TAATGAAAGACATCGTGGATTCGAAATAAAACTAAAATCATTCGTAACTTCTACTCTTGATATAGAAAGAAATTCACTTACAATCGATCAATAATCGGTATATGTGACCCATATTTTCTCTTCACATACGAATCGAATTCTTCGATTAAAAAACTCTTTCTTTGAGTCAAATCCGCACGCATATCGTAGATTATCACTGCATTTGATGGTGCTAATCGTCGATAAATATTCACATATTCCTGATGCATTCTTGCTTCATCACATATCTCTATTTCTGCATCAAACACTGAACTAACAGGCCGATGATCGGATGTTTTCACTTCGGCACGCCCGTAATACAACTGTTTACATTGAACATCAGAAGAAATGCTACGCCAAAGAATACGATCTGTATAGGAAGGTGTTCGTGCCTTTTCACTTGTATCGTAATTATCAGAATCGATATCGTATTTGTATGTCGGAGGGAATTGGATTGGTCCTTCACGAAATTCTTGAAACACCTTAGAAGACAACAGAAACAAGTGTCAAACGATCAAGACTAATGAATAATACTAACTCGATTTTCGGAATGTTCTTTTTTTAGTTGATCATATTCAAGCAATTGTGCATAGGATTCATTTCGGACGAGATATTCAACTTGATTACGTGAGATTGTTAAACGATAATTAAAATCACCAAGAAAGAATATATGATCATGCCAGAGAGCTCGTGATGGCTATAAAGACTTTCTTCAGAAATTAGATCATCAAAATGCGTCTCATACCGGTGGAAATGACAGTTTTTCCATCATTGATCGATAATCTTTATTGCGTTCGTTGTATTCATTTTGTCCCGCAGTAAAATGTGCACAGATAAAGCAGATCGATGTATTGTGTAGAACCAAACGGATAGCCACCTAAAATAACAATGAATATCTGATTTTGTATGTAGAAGGCATTTTAATCGACTGGTGGGTAACATATTGAAGTAATTGCATCAATAAAAAGATCGTCCTACATTTCAAGGATAAAGAAACTCGAAGAGAAAGAAGAATATTCTTTCACCTTCAATGTGTCGACATGCGGTTTTTAGAAAACTGTGCAAGTGAACACTCATAATATTGACATTTGGACAAGGAACAAATTCTGTTGATTGTTGATAAAGAACGGAAACAAATACTTACACAACCTTTATTGCCTAGTTTACCACCCATTCCAGTCTTCACCGAGTCAACAGCAATATTTCTAAAACAAAGTTCCAAGAATTTAATTCAAACACGTAAAGATTTGGGTATATGATTATATACTTGACAAATGGTGCAAGATCTCGACGAATAAATATGACTAAACAGACTCCGACTAATTGATCGTTACCCAGAAGAATGTATTCATCGTTGGGATAAGCTTTTCTGAAATAATTTTGAACATTATCTACCCAACGGGTTGCATTTACCGAACTAAAAACAACACAGGAAACTTTTTGGAAAAGAGAAACATGTTTTTTACCTTTGCCAAACCATATTTGTTGCTGTTAAATCGCAAATCTCTTGAAATCCAATTGCCAATATACTCGGTTTAGCTTTCTTATAATCATTTACTACATAACCTTGAAAAGATGAAACTGATAAGTAAAACATTTCGTTTTCGTTTCAAACGAACCCTTGGTTTCAATCGCATTTGCTTTTCTCAAATTCGCCGACATATTTTCCGGTCCATCCAAAATCCAAGCATCCAATATCGACGGATATTCATGATCTAATTCGCGATTTTTATCTCCGTTGATATTCCATGTGCCAACTGCTATTCGAATTTCTTCTTTTCGTATATAACTCTGACGAATTTTGAACATTTCACTCAAAATAAGACCATCGGCTAAAGGAAAAACACTTTCTCTCAATCACACGAAGATGAAAGTAAGATTACCGATAACATAAGGCGTTGAGAGTGCTGCGACAGAACGTTCATGTAAGTAAGAATCTTTTGCATAAGTGTAGATCAACGTTTGCATAGACTGTTGCTTTTCATCATCACGTAAATTATTTTGAATTGCTCGGCCAACACTACGTTGAATATCTTTCGCCTAGAATAAATTTCATCAATGCGAACATTCGATAAATAAATGAGCACACTTCATCCTTACTATACTTCTTTGTCCAAGTGCACCAGTACCCGTGTAAATTCTACTGATATGATCTCCATTATTAATCCACATATCTTTCAATTGATCAAAAATATTATTGAAATTGATTTGCTTTCTTAAACTTCTCAATTGCATTGATAAAATCCGTAACCCGATGGTCAATTGTACGTTATTCGTTCGATCGAGGCAATCAATACAATTGATTCGAAAGATTCCCTGTTGTAAACTTAATGACGTATTATCCATATAAGTAAATACACTTTGTTGTTCTAGAGCATGTTCAATGTTAAGCTGACTATTTTCAATCAACATTTTCCGGACGAATTGTTCCGGTGTGAAATTTTTTATCGTTCGAAATTGTTCATGATAATCGAACCAAATGAAATCTCGTTCGGTTAAATGGCCAAGACACGGTCGATGAGATTGCTGAGCTTGTTGATAAGTTTTGACCAGCAAACGAAATAGATTCTGGTATTCTTCTCCAACGCGTTTTTCATTATCACGTTGTTCGACTAAATTAAGAATCAATACACGACCGTAATGACGATAGAGATGTTTGAAATGCCTGTAAATAGTATAAAGTCATTTGGAAAAGATCATTGACATTTGCTTTACTCGAAAAAAGCTTTGAAACTAAGTGCTTCGCTACGCGAGATTGTAATTCGATGAGTACCGACCTAAATTCAGACAAAAATCAATGGCAAAATGGCGGAAACGAAATCTGCAAATAGTTTTCAGAACAAACCGGGAAAAAAGAGAAAAATAAATTCTAAATTTTTTTTTCCCATTCGATTTCTTTCAATGAAATCATTCAATTAACTTACTTGAAGACGCGGTTGATGCCAAAATAATGGAATCGAACCTCGAACGATCACAAATGATGAATAATTCAATTGTCGATGTAGAAGAACAATCTAAAACATTTCCAAATAAATCATTTCATTCGATCATTCTTCACATTTACTTGTTCCGTTTCAACAAAATTTGCTACAGCACCATCGTCATTCACACCGCGAACATTAAATCTCGTTCCAGCACGTTCACAACTTAGTCTAAATACAAACTCAATAATATTTCCAAAACAAATACACTGCTAACTACCTGGATATCAACCACATATCGATTTCATCGCTTTGACTACGATATTTTTCAATTCCACCACACATTACTTTCGGTATCCAATATCGAATATCGATATTATATTTTAAAAATGGTAAACACAGACCACGATTCCTAATAAAGACAAGATATCGTTGAAATTTCCTCGTTTTTGCTCAAGTGAAACTTTGTCAAACCAAAAGAATCGAATATCGGAATCATGTCCTTGAACCATACGTTGAGCACAAAGAGTAATATCATAGGGTTTACTAAAATACCGTCGATTTGTATTTGATTCATGTTTAACATCTGTAGAATAATAAAAGCAACGTCCTTGAAATAATTTTCTACAAATTCACACAAATAACTTATCAATTCCAAGGTAATCATTCGAATCGCTTACCTAATTCCAGCAACATAAACTTCATCTTCTGGATTATCCCGAATAGAAATCGTTGCAACTTGTATAATCCCTACAATAACATTCATTGATTCAACCTCTCATTCAAAATCTACTTGATTCATACGAAAGATATAAGCATCAAATAGTTGTCCTATGCACACATCTTCAGTTACAAATATCATGAATGGACGAATAATTCCAGCCGCTGAAATTAATCAAAAATATAATTTATCTATTTTTCGCATTAGAATTAAATACAAACTATTAGCAGTGGTGCTATTGGTGGAGTTATTAAGTACCAATATTCCAAGAAAAGCTTTTGCACGAAGTAATAATGAAAACGGACTATCCGATGGTGCATTGATTCCTGCAAGAAAAAAATTATTGCCGGAAATTTAATAATGACATACGGAAAGAAGTATTTATTCTCATTCGATATGACTCATTGCGTATGATTAATATTAAATAGCTAAATTCTATCAATCAACAAAATTCGCACGTAGACAAGACTACTAATGAGCTTGAATTCGCCTGATTAACGCGAATATTCTCAGAGAAATTGAAATGCTGTGTACTGATTTATTTCACAATAAGTTTCCTTAGAAAGTGCGTGTATTAAGTGAGTTCATGTTTCATGGAAATTCCTCTAATATTTTGTGATTAATTAGTTCTCACAAAAGAAATTTAATCCGTTGTTTTTTTCTTGTAATCAACTTACGAACATTTTGTTGATCACCATTGTAAAATTTCGATGATGTAGCTGAGGATAATGTCGAAGAAAGTGGAACTGAATCGGGTGATAGATTGACATCACTCAATTGAGTTATTGTAAATGGTAATGCATAGGAATCGATCGTGTTCTTTTGATGTTGGGATTGGTATCGTAGACAAAGAACATCGGAACGACTTGGCGATGTTGAACACGCTTGTTGTTGTAATTGAATGTAAAAAGATCCGGAGACTATTTGAGATGGATCATGCGAATGTGAAGGATGAATCGATTCAGCTTTACGATAAAGTACAACATTCCAGTTGGTGACAAGAGATGCAGCGGGTAAAGGCGATCGAGTAGGTCGAGTGGGAGCTGCGTTTGGAAACATGGAAATTTTCGTATTTCGAGAAAAATAAAAATAATGAATAGATTAGATTGTGTTTCGATCCGTGCCGTAGGTCTGCAATAGAACAAATCATATGTACTGATTGACGCATTTCAATTGGCTTAATTTTGGAACCAATCAGAAAATTATCAAATCAGTGACTGTTTTTGAAATAATAAAATGATATCTTTTGTTTTTTTTTCATATTTACTCAAGCAACTGGAAAGCTGCGTTATACAGCGTAATAACTGACGAAATAGTATCTTCTTTCTTCAGATTAAAGTATGTCGAACAATGCAAATAACGAGGATATGTATGAAAATGCCAACTATACGAATAGGCAGGCGCACAGTTCTTTTCAACCTGAAATGGTTAGTGGCATCTTTTCTTTTCCACTTTTACTTATTCTATACTATTGCAGAACCCTATGTCTGACCCTTCGATGTATATGGCGCCGCAACAACAGCAGCTGTATTATTCTCCACAAGGCGTGCCATTGCTACCAGCTCAATATATGCAACCAGATGCATCCTATTATCTTCAATATCCAACTGACGTACAACAAACGGAACTTCAATACGTTCCATCATATCCTTATCACATACAACCGACACCTCATCCTCAGCCAATGACTAGCGCACAACAGCCAACAATAGCTATGCGGGTCAGTGAGTTCATATTCGACACTATTGTGCTTATATTGTGAAAAGTGTTCATATATACAGAAAAAAAACTACTTGTTTAGGCCGAAGCTCCTGAGTTTTCACCGACTCCCAAGAAAACAACTGTAGTTAATCCAAAACCTGCTGTGGTTCCACCAACGCCTACGACGAACAATGTTGACGTTCAAACCAAAACATCTATTGATTTGAAATCCATTCTAGCAGATGACTCCGAACCCAAGTCAACAACAGCAATATCAAATGATCCTTTTGCGTACGATTTAGGAAAATATAAATACGATTATTTTATATCTAAGCTGACCGGTAATTTTGATTCTATCTATCAAAAGTTTGGCTCACCGACAGGCATTTGTTCTTTGACGGACAATCGATTGTTAGTTGCGAATTATGATCGCGATTCGCTTGTTCTTATCGATTTAAAGGGTCATGTTTATCACTTATATCGAGACTTACCCGCGCCCAAGGATGTTCGAATATATTCAAGAGATCCATTCCAAGCACTTGTGGCCACCAAAAAAGAAGCCGTCATTTTGGATTTAGAAACGAGTAAAGTTGTTGTTCGGACCAAAAGCCGAGGATTTTATCCATGGAATATTCAATATCTTCAAGATGCAAATACCATTGCAGGTAAAGATCTGAATTATTTAAAACCTTTTCTCATTCGAACTCGATTTCAGCTTGTGATCCATCCGGTGAACGCATTGTGTATTTCGATAAAGATCTCACTGAGGTTGGTATTTGGTCATTTAGTGAGCAAGGACAACAATCAGCATCTTCGCAAGCCTATCAAAAGATTTACCCATACGCCGCACACTTTTGCTCTGATAATTCCTCATTCGTATTAACCCATCGGAATAACACATGTCAGTTGCAGGAGAAAGACATGCCGAGCGGAAAAACGGTTCGACTTTGGAATGCACCTGTGGGTTTACAAGCTTATTCAGTTTATGCCGACAGTGCGCGAAAATGTCTAATTCCTGACAAAACCAATCATTGCTTGATTTCGGTTTCTGAATGTTCAACTTCTAGTGTTCATAAATACAACTCAGTTTATGAGCCGTATTCGTTGACGTTTCTCTCGACAGGAACATTGTGTGTGACAGATTGGAACAAATCGTTTGGAACAACTGGTGGTGTGGCAATACTTAGTGAAACGGATTTGACATCCAATTGAAGAAAAAAGACGAGATTTTAGTGACAAATTCTGTTTTAGTTTAGAAATTAACAAAATATTTAATCTCAAATGTTACAGTTTGCTTTTCAAGTTGTCTTGTATTGTTTTATGTTGTGTTTATCGTGCTGTTTATTGCTAATATTAATTTGTTTTTTGATTTTATTTTTATACCATCACCGTAAAAGAAATAAAAATTAAAGAACAGAGGAAAAAAGAGAAAGCGAGTGATACAAGCGCACTGATCAAAACGAAGTGAATGTTTTCAAATTTCTAAATGGAAAGAGAAAATATTTCTTTTCTCTTTTTAAGTATTAATGAAGATTTGAGTTGGAATGAAATCACTCCAAGGGAATGCCGAGACGTTGAAGAATTGCACGAATGTCTTCTTGAGCTAAAACGAAAAGAAAAGTAGAATCACAATTCAATCCTAAACAAAGAATCGATGTTTACGATCGGTCCAGTAAACTTCAGGTTGTTCGCTATTAGTTGCTCTTTGCGCTTCTATTGTAGTCGTATTATAGTCGTATTCAGGCTCCCAGACGGTCTGTGTACTACTCACATAATAATCATTACTTGCATCTGTTTGGTATATTTGATAAGCGTTATTTATTGATGAGCTCTTCAAAAGTAAGTTTAGAAACAAATAATGAGACTTCGTGGGTTGGTTGGTTTCTACTTACAAGGTTATCATTGATACCGATCTGCTGTGCTTGTGCTAGTAATGATGCTGAATCGAGTAGGTTGTGACCGTACTGAGCGACGTATTCTTGAGGATTTTGTGGTTGAACACCAAGTCGATGAATCTGGCGTATAACATTAACTTGAACGGGCTCATAGACAATGATTGTATTACGAGGTTGAGGATAGGACGGTGGTGGAGGAGCTCGATAGGTAATCACCTTGCGTTTTTGAGTTTCTTTTGAATAAGGTAACCAGCGTTCGATAACAATATCACGGGGGCGTGCTGGAACTGGTGGATATCGTTCAACAATGATCGATCGGGGTGGGGGAGATGTAGGCGGTAATTTTCGAATCACTGTTTGAGTGGGAATGGGAGTTGGGACTTGTGGTGGTCGTTCACGAAGAACTAACGGAGGAGGTTGGGGACATGGAGGAGCGTGTTGACGGATGACAAGGGGAGGTGGTGGAGGTGGCTAGTGGAATGTGAAAAATCAGTTAAGTTTTTTTGTTTGATCTGAACGAGTAGAACACTTACCTGGGGTGGACGAACTTCTTTGATGATCAATGGCTACACAAACAGAGATGAAGTTAGAAATCAAATATTTTGAAAATGATAGTACATACGCCTGGTGATGGAACCGGTGGCGGTTGAAGGAAGCGTACGGAAACGTTCTGCCGATATGTCAATGGACCTTGAGCTGCTGGTCGTCGAATGATTTGAGGTCCATTAGGATCTTGATAAAGATTGTTATTGTAGTTAGTTGTGGATGCCAAGGCGCTGCTGGCTTCCTCAACAACAGTAGCGTTGTTGCTGGCACCTACATCAACAGATCGGTACTGAGAAGTAAGGGATGATGATGATAAAGATTGAATGATTTGATTAGCAGTCGCGTCATCAACTTCTTCGATTCTCACACCGTTCTGATTGAAAGAATCAGCTGAAGTTATATTATTGGTGTCAAATCCACCGAAAGACACACTTTGTTCTTGTCCGAGAACAGTGATTGATGAGTTTGCATCAAATTGAACATTTGTGAGTTCATCAGCTTTGCTTAATAAAGATTGAATGACAGGATTGTTGGCGAACGAATTGAAACTCATGGCAATAATATACGAATGTTAAAGTTTGCTTGATAAATCAACTGAATTGTCGGCACGGCAAATGTTTTTGTCGATTTGGATTGTTATATGAATTGAAAAGTATAAAAGTGCTTAATTTATATCCCACCTCATCGAACAATCAGACTCACATTAATGTCGATTAAAAGATCAAAGTGCAACGAACCGAACACAAACTAACAGCAATTACAGGAAGAAAGCCACAAGTAAACAAGATTGTAACTCGAAATCAAAATATTTCAATTACTTCTGTCTGCCTCTTATTAATATCTATTGTATAGTTCGAATAGTCATTAGATCACCATATAAAATCACTTTTTCTACATTTAAAATCACGGTTGAGTTAAACCATCAAATCAAAGCGCTAATTGACATTTGTTCCCATTTGACAAGAATCGATATGTACCTAAACAGGAAGATCGATTTCGATGGTTTTCCTCTTATCCGAATGACAATGGAACTAATCCGATTGAATCAAATGATAAAACAATATTCTTCGTGATGACAGTCATTACATAGTACGTGCGATATCTATTTCAAAAACTAATTAGACGGAAGGCAACTAATGAGATATTAATGACAATAAAGACTGAAACATTATAAGCAATTACGAAACAAAAAGATAACCGCAGACAGATACATTCGGGGCAAAACAGACGCGAGCCTTGAAATATTTCCAAAACAAGTAAACATATTATTTCAAAATAAATTCATTCGTGTTTTTTCAATTGGATCGGCAAACGAAAATATGCGACTATTTTATTGAGAAGAAAATTAGTGAATACATTCGAAAAACAAGACACTCTAAACTAATAGGCACACACGCAATTGATATTCGAGTCTCTATTCATTTATTGTGAACAGAATGTTTTCAAGAAAGTTGTATCTTCTATAAAAAAAAAGAAAATCAAATCAAATCGATTAGTTTTAAGAAGGAATTCTTACCCTTGTCTAAACCAAGACATGTACCCCATTCATCTGAGGAGATTTTGTTGTCATTGTCTGTGTCACAATGATCCAGAAACGGTTGAATACAATGTTCAAGTACTTTAAGTGATCGAACGAAACGTGCCAATTCTTCGTTATTCACTGCGCTATATACAGAAAGATCTGCGTTGCAAATCTTCTTTAGATTTAATCAATGACACTCACTTATCATGTGTTCGGTCAAGTTCACAAAATTCCCAGAGAACAGCATTACGCCACCATTTTTCGGTATTCGACAATTTCATCTTACGTGCTTCATTGACTAAAACTTCGTATTTGGCATCGAGATCTTTACGAACAAACTAGAAGGAGACGACAAATGAAATCTTGATTTTCGTTAACGAATACAAACCAAAGCATCAAGAATTTCACCGAGCCATGTTGTCATTCGTTTTGGAAAAACTTCCAATTCAAAGTCGGTACAAACTCCCAAATCTAAACAGCAACAGTCATTCAAACTCATCTATTGTCTTTCCTTACTTTGACATCGTCCAAAATAATCTATCGAGTCAGCGACAGCTTCCTTTCGCGTGCATCTTTCATCATCTTTACGACACCAACATTGCATTTGAAAGAATTCACAATCCGATGTATATGTATGATTAGCTTTTGTACAAACCTATTTTTCACGAGCAAAACTATCAGTTTTAACGAACGGAAAACGTTTTCCTACCATTAAACGTTCATCTTTCGGATCTTCACATTGGGCAACACAGGCACATTCAGCATCACCATCTTTATTCAATACACATGTTTCACCGTCACGACACTTTGTACTTGCACAACGATCTATATCCCTATCTTTTTATTCGTGTGAACATTAGTAGAAATACATACCTTGAAAATCATTGATAACTTGTTTTTCTTCTTCCACTGTCAAAATTTCATTTGGTACAATTTTGACATCCGTTTCTGTCTACAAGCAAAAGAATATTTGATCATCTTTGGTGTGTGTCAACTTTCATAGCACGTACATCATTCTCATTATTTCACACTCAATCAGATAAGTATATACAAACAACGTTCACCGCACGTGTGCGCTCATGTTCTCATATCATACTTTCTCTTTCCTATCTGAACTAAGTTAGTTAATCGAATTGTGATTGCCAGTTGTTTTATTATTCTTAATGATGTAACCGATCGATAGAGTAGGATAGAAGTCATTCCAAACGTTGATTACAACTGATAATGTAAACAGTCATCGATTCCGATGAAAGGAAAGTTCGTGTAGTACAAAAATTGTTTAACACAATCAACGATAAACCTTTCGAAGACATTTTAGTGAGAAGAAAACTAATGAAGGAGTGTTTTTCTACCCAACTTATGTGAAAATATGTTTAGCGTACAATTGGATGTTGTTGTTTTTCCTTGACAGTAGACATTAGTTATCGATTGGAAAGAAAACAATTCCACTAGAATAACGTATGTGTGTGTGTTAATTGATTTTTCGACTATGAATGAGAATCGAGATGTCTGCATTACAGAAAATAGACTAACAAGAATTTACTACAGAGTACGGAGTTTCTACACATCTAAAATATCGACCACCTCGAGATACGATTGCTCGTATTGACTTACTTTAATGAAAACGAATTGTTGAAGTGAGAAGATGGCGATTAAGAGTAAAATATTCGATTTTGAAACCATTGCGGAAGACAGAGAGCGATGATATGCAAGACTTCGATCGGATGTCTCGAAGAAAAAATACAATTGAATGGAGGGAAATTATTCTGAGAAGTTCTTTTCCCATCTCTCTCTCTCCCTCTACTGTCCTTTTTTCTCTCATCAAGGGAGAAATAAGGATATTGATTGTTATCCTTTCATCAACACAGTATACTCTTGTCTTCCGATTACGTATGAAGAATTTGCTTGTAAACGATCGCTTTTCCCTATGCATCGATATCTTTGTACAAAAGTTAATATAGAATTCAAGCGGACAAGCTGATTGAATAACATATGCATAAAACTTATGTTCAGCTCAGTCAACCTTTGAACAAAACAGGAAACCGATCTACTTAATTATCCTACCAGATAAAGTTAATGCAGAGGAAAAGTTTCGTAGAAAATCTTATCTCAACCTTCAAGATGAAGTACGATGAATACCCAGGAAAATAAGCAAATGATTAGGAAGAATTTTTATTCAGATACAGTTGAAAACGTATGCTTGCACGTTGAGCTATTTTATCATAGAAAATATTTGCACCATAGACACGACATTCAATTGTGAGTAAAACATTCGCTGTGAGATTGATAAATTGTACCCAAACATATGGAACTTGATATGCATCTTTTCGATTGACTTTTCCACTAGAATGAATTCGAGAAATTCAAATTGTTATTTGAGTGAAGAAGTTCACTTGTAAGGAAAATGTTTAACATCGATTGTACCACACAAATCACTCGAACCAGATTCACTATAGTACATTATATTACCAAGTTTCTCCTGATCTGATTCTTTCTATCGAATAGATGAGAAATTTTATGTAAGAATTGACAAAACGTAACAAACTTCGCCTTGGCATCGAACCGGTATATTAGGAATATTTGTACATGCTGGTTGATGTTCTCTGTCAAGATTCGTTCTGCCAATTTCAGGAATAAAACCGATAATCTACAAATTACAAGTCAGATTTTTGTGATAACACATCTTCTTCCTCGAACTTTATTCATTTTAATCAAAAAACATGGTTGGCCATGCTTGAAACCATACTGTTTCTCTGAATGACAATCGCCTACATCACTGATCGTGAAATTTGTCGGTGTCGATAAGCTGTAATCTAATATCGAAAGAATTTGTTTGGATAATCAATTTCATCGTGTAATCACTTACATAAATTAAAAAATTCATCCAAATTTTTTACATAACTTTCGTAATCCTCGTTAGTTGATCGTTTCCCTCGATGTCCTGTTCCATTTGCTGTGAATCTGATCACAGTATACATTTCTTTTGGATTAAATTCCGGTTGTGGTCGAAAACTAAGTCCTTTATCAACATTCTCATTCCATCAACTATAAACTACTAAGAATCTCAACCTGGAGAAAGCGGATTCGCCCGCGTTGTCAATCGACTCGCTTTGCCTATATATCTTGGTTGATTTAATGGTAAAGATGACATGTAGATAGATAAATATAAACAAAAGAAACCAGCAAGTGTAATAAAAAAGAAAAAATAGAAAGCTGATAATCGGCCTATGAAGAAAACAAGATGTCAGAATGAATAAAGAAGAGAGCCTTTCCTACTCCATTGTTTGCTGTTTCGTCCACAAATTTCACCTCGTCGTTGATTGTAAAGAAATTTCTTCAAGGAAGAAATTCCTCGATCCAAATTCGAACCGAAATCTTCACACCATTGACCAATCGAACGGCTCTGTGTTGATTTAGTTTTCACACGCATTGAATCGAAGTTTTCTGCTCTTTTTCTCACGCTTAATTAGATTTGAATAGAATGACAGAGAAGACTATTCGTGCAATCGACATTTATAAACCGTTTAAGATTTTGACCATTGTCATAGAGTCAAAATCGACGTCGAGACTCTCTGAGCAACAATCAAAACGTAGAGACGGTTTGCTGAACAAACTAAGAAGTGCAAGTGAACATCATTTGTATTTATATCTGACTTGTTCGCAAGTGACAGAGAGGGAGAGAGAGAGAGAGAAAGACAAGTCATTGTTTCATTTGTTCGTTGATGGCAACAACTGACGCACGGATTTTAATACCAAAATGATGAGGAGAAAAAATGCGTATGTGATTTTTCTTTGAAAAAAATGAAAGAAAGAGGAGGAGTGCATTGATCGTTGACAGTGATGGGTGGTCACAGATGGAATTCTTCTATTGATATAAGAAAAGAGACAAAGTATATATGCACGGCTGATGCAAAGAACGATGATAATGATTATTGAAACTCATTTGATTATGCATACTTTTTTCAATTGTTTCCTTTCGCCTGAATGCCTCAGTGCCATCTGATGAAATCAATAAACACTTAGAGAAAGTTATTTTAACTTCGAACTAATCATTGCTCTTTGTATGTTGAAATGTAGCTCATAATTGAATAATTAGTTTTTCTTTGTCATTCTCCATGTCAGCACTTAATTTATTGTTCGATGGATGCACGTGAAGGACAATTGTCTTCTGTACTGATCCAGCTGCGAAAGTAATAAGATATAACTTCGTGATATATGTGCAACTATATGTTTGTAATAGACTAGAATATAGTTATGAGTAAAATATAAATCCGTGCCGTTGAAGGAAACCAAAATATCTGATATAATTATGGTGTTGACTTGACCTTCGTACAAGTCTTTTTAAGATGGTTAGATGATGGACAGTCGGAGCTATTACAATTAGGAACTGACAAGGTTGACCGAAGAGAGATAGAGTTAGATCATTTGTTGACTTATGTGAATCTGACTCGGATGATTTTCAATGATCAATTTTACTGATTGACAACAAGAACATTAAAAGTAAACAAAACAACGAGTGGTTTCTCCTATGTTTCATCATCACTATTGTTGAAAACGATCTTTTTCGCTTCGGATTTTTGTATTCGGTATTGTGATTTTGCTTCTTTACTCGCTTCCCATGATGGATGGAGAGGCGGAGTGTTTGTATCTTCAACTTTTGATTTCGAATTCTTGATTGATCCTGCAAAAACAAACATGATGAATTGTTTTTCTAATTAACTTATGACATACCGTTCGGTTTCTTCTTTGATGTTGCCGATGGAAGTGAACGAGCGAGAGGTGAGAGATGTGCCCATTTCTTTCTCGCTAGATCTCCTTTTCCATCACGACGATTCGACGATGATGATAATGCGTCGATAAAGTACGAATGTTCGATAAAACGTTTATCATCAAGTTCAGAATCATTCTTATCTCGACTAGTTCGTTTCTGATAGGTTATTTGATGTTGACTATTGACAAAGAACGGATCATTAATCACAGTTGCTGATGAGGAAACAGGCTTTATTTCTGTTTCCATCATTTCGGGTTGTTGCTCTTCTTCTTCTTCTTCGTCGTCGTCATCCGGTTGATCACCGAGTGGTTCAGCTGTTTTCTTTTCTAGATCGAGTACGCAAACAACTGCTTGTTTCGAATGAGTGACACGAGGTTTTTCTTTGGTTTTTTCTATTTTAGGTTTTTTAACTTTCAGTGGTTTGGGCAGTTTTTGTTCAATTTCTTGTAATTCTTTCTGTTGATCAACAAGAGCTTGTTCAATCTTCTCGAAATCTTTCGATTTCTCTTTCCATGCTACGCGTTTCTCGTGTCGCGATTGATACATGATCAACAGTTGTTGCCACGACTTTGCATAATCTTCATGATTTTTCAAAGAACTCACATCCGACTGAAGAGACTTCTCCGTTGCTAAACGAATCAACGCGTACTGTTTGAGATCGTCACTACTTGGCTAAAATCTCGATCATAGTTTGACGAGAGGAGACAGAAAAAAGGATGTTTACTTTGCATATCTGTAGAACATCAGCGATAGTTCCTTCGTGCTCCATTGCGAATAACACGACATCTTTATTCGATAGTTTCTAAATAACTTCAATTCATCGGACATCATGTTGAAGAAGACTTTCTCACTCGAATTTGATGAATTTCATCGATAATTCTTTTTACTTTTCGTGTTGTACGTTCGTCATCCGGATTTCTAAAACGATTGAAAGTATTACATGAATTTTCAAGCAAAAATGAGTTTTACTTCTTTCTTTCATGTTCAATTTGTCGAGTTAACTTTCGAATGATGCGAACTTTACTTCGTTTGACCGATTTCTCTAATTCAATAACCTTTTACAAAGAAAACTTCACCATCTCTCCTTCAATCCGTCGATAATTCCATACCTTATTATTGAATGCACTTAAACTCATCTGAAACATAAACAATCGCATATGAACTTTGTTTTTTTTTTATTGTAACAAAAAAACGAAACAGAAATATTTATTTCTTTCTCGGAACAACTTTCGTTTTCTTCTTTTCATTCGCTTTCTCCGCTTCGTCATCCGACCAGAAGTCATCGTCATCTTTATCCGTTTGTTTCGGATTCTAAAACGATAGATAAAGTTCATCAAACTGAGAAAAGATTTGTTACTTTGAGGAGTAGTTTAGCTTCCATTGCTGATTCCACTTGTTCCAATTTCTTCTCGCGATCGATCCTTTTTTGTAATTCCGCATATTTCTTCTTTCGTTGTTTTTGAAATTTCTAGGAAAGAAAAAAGGTGAGAACGACTATTCGCGAAGTAAATCCGGAGAATTACATTGATTAACTCATCATCCAAATTGACTTTCATGGATTTTAATTGTTCAATAGTTAATCGATTTGATCGACGATTGATTAAAGCCGGATGAGTGCGCATTTTCTTAACAGGATCGAATTTTTCAACTAAAAGCATTGAATTCAAATTAAGCATTCAACTAAACAATGAGTCAACCTTGTTTTTGTGAATCAACAAAAAAGATATGCGAGGTCGATGGACGAGATTCCGAATCGATCAAATGTGATGACGATTGTAATCTATCGATCTTCTTTCTTTCCATCTGATGTTTGTATTTAATGTATTTCAAGTCTTGGCTTTGCATTAACTTCAATTGATCATCTGTATATTCTTTATACTTCTTCTTTAGGCTATGAACACCATTCTACAGCGAAAATACGCATTGAATTTTACAAAAAAATCAAGAGAAAAAGTGAATCACAAACTTTTAATTTAGTATTGACCATGTTGAAATAATATTCTTCGGGATTTTTGTCTAACGCTTTTTTCTTGAGTTCACGAATAACATTTCCTTTGGTTTGATAATCACTAAACAGGAAAGATGTGTGAGAAATGGAATGTTGTAGATGAATTACACTGCTCGTTCCTTGTAATCTTTCTTTTTTTCGAGTAAACCCAAATGTTCGCGTGATGAAAGCTAAAAACCAAAGAGTTTTATGTTAATTTTCGAGAGAGTACAATGGCTATCTACTTGGGATCGTTCTCGATGGTGAACTTGACCAGCTTTGCTGGATTTCTTCCACGATGACATGATGATAATTCACTAAAAATGGAGAAAAAATAAGCACGATAAAATTCGTTAAATTTATTTTTACGAAGCTGATCATCCGATTGATTCGAAGAAATTAGCCAATTGAAGAACGCATCGACTAGAGGTCGTTACGTATCATAGAAAATCGATTAGCCCAACATATATGATAGGAATGCACTGTTTGTTTGTTGTTTTTCCAATAAAAAAAATCGCTCTATGTGAGCAATTCTTCGGAAAACAAAGATCTCTGCCAATAAATGTTTGCACAACAGCGCAAGAACTTTTTCATTGCGTATCTTTACGATTTGTTTGCTTAAAAGCAAAATGACCATAGTTATCAGTTTGATTCGCAATCTACTGTCCTACAGAGCTTCACTATATGAAATTTCGTTGAGGAAAAACTTGCAATTCTTTGAGAATTTATATCGTTTGTCGTTAAAAATCAGTGTTTTGAAATACTACGACGTTCATTTGTCAAGGTAAAGTATCGCTTGGCTTAGTAAGACATGCATAATGTCGAAAAATAAAAAGAGAAGAATAAAACGTGTCTATTTACTTTATTTCTTTCTTTCTGTCATTTAATCGGCATCGTTTGTAGGTGTTTTTTTTTCAAAGCGTACGAACCACATGAAAGGCATACTTCGATGAAATTTAACATAACGTTGTCAAATTCAATATGTTAATCAATGTTTCTGGCTTTTCTCGTCGACGAATACATTTTGCTGTTTGTATTCTCCTCTCAATATTTCTCGTCTCCGTTCTTCAATCAGCTACATCAAGAACTTATGTTGACGTTCAACGTACTAGAAATTTATTATTACTCGCAGAAAATAAATCGTTTTGCTCTGAACGATCTGTTCGACGTGGATTCAATCAACACGTTCTGAGCGTTTCAGCTTATGAATCTGACGATCGTATTCAATTGAAAAGTAACCTCACATGGTTTTACATCGAAATATTTGCTCGACAAGCCAAGAAATTTTATCCGTCATGGATTGTACGTGTTTATTATTATAATTTAGTCAGTAAAAGTCAAGCTGATATTGATCATTTCGAACAACTATATGAGAATGTCGATTTTTGTCCAGCTGAAAATTTACCAGTGTTAGGCAATATTAAAAACAAATTACCAGGCAAAATTCAACGATTCTTACCTACTAGTAAGTAGAAACAGAGAGTTTACTTCGAATGAAAGTTTGTTTTTCTTTTAGTTGATCCATTCGTTGGTGTGACAATGGTTCGTGATCTTGATTCTGATATATTCGACCGCGAAGTCCAAGCAGTGGATGAATGGTTAACAAAAACAGACTATGCATTCCATATTATGCGTGATAACAGTGTGCATAATATTCCGATGCTCGGTGGTTTATGGGACGTCGCTTCCAATCGATTGTCTATCAAAGATCGATTAACAATTGCCAATAGACTTTTACCGTCAGATAAAGAAGAAGAAATCGAACAGTTCTGGAAATCTTATTCGAAAAGAGGAGATCAACTATTCTTAGAACATCATGTGTGGCCAATTGCTCGTCAAAATGCGCTCGCACACGATTCATTTTCTTGTTTTTGGTCACGTTACATCTATCGAACAGATACACGTCCTTTTCCAACCAGAATTGAACATCCAACATGTTTTCTTGGATGTCCGAAACCATGTTGTACAAACGAATCACGATCTAGGACAGACTTTTCATCATTCAAACACTGTCCGGTTATGTGCCGGCCAGAAAATCATAAAGATTGGATATTTTGTTAATGATGTCAGACACCAACACACATTTTCATTGAAGAGAATAGATATTTCTCTCAAATAAAAGGAGATAAATATATATCACAATTGAAATGTATTTTCATAATGAAAGTAATCCTCTAAATGTTCTACAAAGTATTCATTTTTCTTGTTTGTTTCAAATAGAAAACAACACTAAAATGTATTGTCCAATTCGAAAATAACATGACGATAAATGTGCTGCTTGATCGAATGAGAATGGAACATCTCGATAATTTGAAGGTCACAAACAGCTAATTAGTATTCAGTTAATAAAGAAATATGAAAGGAAAATATTTGTATCGATATAACAAGGTAGAGTAATGTTTGATCGATATTATTCTTCTTTTACTGTGTGTGTATTTGTGATTGTTCCTTGATTAAAAATACTATAGACAGCATGAAATAGAAGCAATCTTATGAATTAACAGAATATTATTGATAGGATAGGAAAAGGAAAAAGAACAATGAAACTACTTCTAGAAGAGACAGAGTTTTTCACGTATTTGATAATTGGTTGGTCTATTCTTTTTACTCATAGGAATCCTCGCTTGTAATAATTCGACCAACATTCAAAAACTAGCAAGTGTTCTTATTGACTCTCTGTGTTACACAGGTAAGTTGAATAAAACAGATCGTTTGATTATATTCATACATTCGCATTGATTACTGTATGATCTATGAATTTGGTTAATTTCGTAGTATAAGAGAGAGGTGATTTCATGCTTTATCAAATAGATATTTCGACATTACAACACTGATCTTTGTTGTGAGAGGAACAATCATACTCATATTTCTCTTTTCAACAGATCCCTGCCAAGATTGGATATAGAGAGAAAAAGTGAACATACAATTTTTTGTCTGTTGCGTATGTCGATCGTAGATGAAAGTTTGAAATGACCATACAAGTCATGCTCAAAATTATATTATTATCATCACTAATGTTGTGATTTTTCAATGCATTGTAGAGGTGTGAGCATGGGATGGATGCAGGAATAATTCAATCCTTGAATTCAAGTTTGATATTACTAAACAGAAGGTTATCGTCTCTCCGAAACTGCAACAGGTGGCGGAAGTCTGATATTTAAATGTATCACATCAATCGTCTTCGATCATAACGAATTAATAAAGGAAAACAATGATCGTTATTTAAGTACTATATTGTTTGAGATAGTTAATTGACCAGAATATTAACACATGTACATGTCATTTTTCCCGTGTTTTGAAAAAAAAGAAGACTTTTAAAAGAGATTTCATTTACATATGTTTCTTGACTCACTTTACTTTGAATACTAACGGGATAATGAGGGTGTGGATGGGTAGCTATGATTGAAGCGTCGACAAACGACACTTGTTGTCAGTAAATATAAAAAGTACAAGTTAGTACTAAACTTGACAAAATTTAATAATATTTTTGTAATTGAAACAATTTTCGATGTGTTTTATTGAGTATTCATTTTTTTTAATCTATGAAATAGAAAACAAAACTATTATCAACAATAAGTCCAGTCGGGATGATATTTCGGTCGACATTGCTGTGGACATGGTCTATCGAGAATTATTTTTGATGAATTTTGACAACAAGGTCTCACACAACCTACATGACAATCTCGTGCTGGTCGTTGACTGGGAAAAGCGCGTACATGTCCTTCACGAAATTGTTCACATAGATAGGAATCGTAGACTAAAGCTTCATCTTTTACTTTGGGCCATACTAATTCTTCTAACAAGTTTTGATCTTTTTTGAGAATATATTGTTGAACACGAGTTCGATCCAGTAGAATACTGAATAAACGAAGAAATAAAAGACGATTTCGATTCAGTGCAGCCGTCCATAGACCACCGAGGACTGGAACGTTGTGTAATGGATGATCACGCATTGTTAGAAATAAATATGGTGAATTGATAAACTCTTCAATGACTATCTGTTCACGATGTGTTAATGGTGAATCCAGATCACGCGATGAGACAAATTCAACTGTTGGATCGAGTGCTGGAAGAAATCGCCACAATTTTCCCGATAAATATGCATCCACATCACCTAATACTGGTATTTGATTAACATTACATATATCAATATTCTTTGATATACGCGGCAGATCTTGTAAATTCAATCGACTGATTGTCAATTCATCTGCATACAAACGTATTGTCCATTTTGGAAATAATACTGTTGCTTCATGAATTAGTGGTGTAATTAATTGAGAAAAGTTATCATCAGCAAACAACGAGTTCTCTTTTGGACCAAAGATCGATAGAGAAATAATGCGTTGCTTTTTACCACGACGATCAGCGCTTTCGCTACATAATGTTCGGTTGCTGTGAAGTGTGATTTGAAGTAATTGCGAACATATATCTTCATTCTCGAGAATGTCCGTCGTTGTGAATGCATTAGAATTGGAATGAAATAACACGATAACACACAAAAGAAGTATACAAAGTAGAAAGTATCGTTTGTGGTCAAAACCAATAAAACATCTTTGTAATACATGACGATAATTGAACTGCTTTATTGAATGAGAATGGAACATCTTGAAAATGTTATGTTTAGAAATGTGTCAGTAAGAGAGAAACAAATGAATAGCGTTGAATTAATAAAGAAACGTAAAAGAAAAATATTTGCATCGATATAACAAGGTAGAGTAATATTTGATCGATCGTATTCTTTTTTTTTACTATGTGTGTTTGCGATTGTTCTTTGACGAAAAATACTATAGGCAGTATGGAGTAGAAGTACTGATGAATTGAAACAGTATGATTAACAGAAGGAGAAAAAGAAACAAACTGATGAAGAAGCAACAGAACGACAAAAACGATGAAACTAGTTCGAACAGATACTAAGATATTTTTCCACGTACTTCCCAAATGATTGGTGTAGTCTCGTTATTCACAAGACTTCCTCGTTCTTGATGACTCATCTATCATTCTAGAACTAATAGATATATTTATTTATTATCTATTACGTAGATAAGTTGCAATAATGGCATGAGATTCGATTTTTATCAATCATTACAAGATCTCTAAACTCAACAGTTGTCGATTTACCTCATAAAACACGAAAGAAATTGTTTGATGTCTGTTCAAGAGAATATTTCAACGATACAACAATGTCGGTATTAAAAAGATTTCGATTCTCCTGTCTTTCTTGTCGTTTTAATATTGCATTCGTTTTTTTTTTCGTTTACTAGATAATAGTCTTTGGTGTAAAAACAACAGCACGTGTGCTCTTTCCTTGGCGCACACATTGAGAGTTTACTATTCGCATAATAGAACTTTCTTTTATGCGTAATTGAGCAAAGTAGATGAGAAACAACGATAAAGTTTTTTTTGCAGTTATATGTTCTCAGGACGGAAAACGTTCTTTCACCATTTCTTCACTTTAAACCGCTCAGTTCATTGCCGTTAACTAACGATGTTGAACAAGAACTTCTTGGTGCATAAAAAAAGAGGCTATCCGACGAACAGCTTTACACGCAATAATGCGTTTCAGCTTCAACTTCAATTCGAGTGATTAGGAAAATAAGCAAATAGTAGGGAACAGCAGTGAAATAAAGGCCGTAAAAAACAATTGCTGCGGATATTCCATCTAACAACAGTTTCCAAGGTGTCAAAAATCATATTGCACCAAAAGATACGGTCTGTTAAATGAGACGCACTCTGGTATTGTCTAAATTGATAGAGCAATGAAAATTAACATGAGTATGAATTAAGTATCTGCTAAAGCGAAGTCATACACAATAGTTGAACCATATTCGGATGCATTCACGTTCATTTTTTGAAGTAATAGAACATACGAAAGAAGATCTGAGAATTTAGTATATATAACACAGAATGATTTCGATGCAAATGCTTTGAACGACAAAAATAACGTCATTAGAATCGGTTTTGATTTACTACACGTTTTTGTTAATTACTTAAGATTTCATTCTGCGATACTTTAAAATAACAAACACAATTAGAATAGACATCTGCAAAATGGTAGACACTCTACTGTGAATGTAAAATACTCTTTTGATGTTTTTAAAGAATTGAACTAGAAGTCCAGCAAATAGAAGAAGAAATGTTTACAATCTGTATCACATTCACCACGTCCATATTTCCAGATCAATTAAATCAACATGAATCACAGGAATTAACATTGAACATGATTGATAACCAGTAGGGTATCACTATTTGACCTCAAGATGCTCATAGACACTGAGATGTGATTAAAAAAACACTTTTATTTATATGTACGTCATTTATAAAAGGGAAGAGATATTGCACTCCATTCGCTATTAAGTCAAAACAATGGAAAAAGATGAACAAAAGCCTCATTGAGGTTATGATGACATCTGAAGAAAGTGGTACAATGTGAAAATCAATTCAGTACAGTATTCTCTTGAAAATCCTGAAGAACGATGGATCGAATGTGTTCTGGTTAAAGTTCATTTTTTGAGAATCTCTTCGAATCTGAAATCTAACATTACTTGTACGAGATCATCTATTTTTGAATAACTTCTATTGAAAATAACATTGGATACTAAGATCTTGTACATTTTTTATCACTTATTTCTAAACTTTCTCAGCACATGCTGAAGAATCTTTCGAGATCAGCATTTATTCTGAATAATGGCCATTATGTATTTATCAATATCGGAATAAAGCATCATTCATACAAAAAAAAGATCAGTAAAAATGCATTAAGAAACAATGAGTTGTTAGTAAAGAATAAATACTGATAAGTGAGATAATAATAAAAAGAAACACAAAAGTACATTTCATTGATTATAATCGTGTGATTTTATTGGGAAGTATGGTTACTTGACAAGCATTGTTCGTTGTTACCGATGATGATGTGAGTGTACTATTGACAGCAGAATGTGTTGTTGATGATGTCGATGGATAATGTCGTCGAACGAAGAAATTAAAATCACTTTGTTGTTGAATTGGTTGACAATCGGTATTCGTATTTGTTGATGTTAAGCTCATCTGATCGACTACATAAGAAAAATCATCATCGTCATTATCGTCATCATCACCATCACTCGATGAAATTGATAAGACAGCATCAGCGACAGGACGTAGGCCAGCTGGATATGCTGGAGAATAATCGAAATCGTGTCCGTCATTGGAAATATCACTATTACTGGAAAGATCCGTACGAGGTGGTTTTGAATAACCTAATGGCGGACGGGCTGGAGGGGTTAGTTTTTTACGGTATCGGCCAGGTCGAGGAGGTGAGGGACTACAATCGAATAATTAGAGAGTGTTCTATAAATAGTATAGTTTGAGAATGAAAACCTTACCAATCGCCACTTAATGAGGGATTTTTTATTCGTTTGCTTTTTGTTACAACGGTGGGTGGTGGTGATGATGGAAGAATTTCGCTAACGATTGTTAAATCACTTGGTATTGTTCGTATTGGTTCTGCATTTGATGCTGGAAAATTGAATAAACCTGTGTCAGATTGAAAGATCTTCTCATTTTTTCGATCAGCTAACGCAGATGTGTCAATCATCGATGCTGCTATTAGGGAAGTTCGTCCACTACGTGACAAAAGACGATTTTGTATTGAATCATTCAATGTGGCTGGTGCATCACTCGCTGATGATGCTTGATCTGATAAATGAAAGAGATAATTTTGAATAGGTCTAGTTGATATATATGTTGATTGAAGATCTTCATTCGAATCATCTTCATCAGCTGCACTCAGTTCACCAACACTTAAATAACCAGTTGAATCTAACATTGGTACCAGAGGACTTGCCACTGGCGAATATTCACCTAAAATACACAATATTGCGTTGATGATAATCAAAGTCGTTGATAATCGAATGTGTAATTACCTGAACTGTTTGTATTTTCCGAATAAGTTTCTTGCCGAGGTAATCGTGGTTGTTGTTGATGAGAAGGAGGAGGAAGAGGAGGATTTGTCACGTGTTGAGTCTTTTTTTGGAAGTTAAATTTTACAATTAACACAGCTAAGTTTTCTCTTGCTCCATAACTTTGCGCGATATCCACGAGCTTTTTCGATGCCAAAACAGGGTTCTGTATCGAGCGAACCGTCCGTACCGCTTCTTCGTGGGAAAGATGCTACAAAAGAATAAGATTAAACAACCGTCTTGTTACTCAACTTCTTCATTTACCTGCCATAATAAATTATTCGCAATGATGAAGAATTCATCGTTTTTACTCAGCATAAACGATGAGATATGCGGTGTTGGTATGACAGCAGGATAGAGAAATGAACACCCTAACATTCGTGTTTGAGATGTAATTGCATTTAATGCATTATCTTCATTAATAATTACACTCGGTGTTTTTCGAATACGTTTACATTCGCTTTCATCATGTGGAATGGTAAAACGACGTGTTAGAGGATGAATCATTGATGAACGACAAAGTACTGCTTCACAGTGACCAACATTTGCGGCATTCAATTCAAAACGAAAGTGATTTTCAGTTTGCGATGATGACGATGATATTGTCGTTGTCGAAGAGTAAAGATTCGCATTTGCGACATTTGTGGGTAATAAACTACGAATATGAACAACAGTCGATGCAGCACCTAAACGCTGTCCAGTTGTTTTCAACCGTCTAAAATTCCAAAGAATGCATTACAGAGAATAAATCACTAACAAGAGAACGAACTTTTGCAATGTTAAAAACGTATGTTTAAGATAGACATTCGCTTGATCACATTGTTCGTATTCAGACTTAAGAATATCGGGTAATTTATGTTTGAGAATTGATGGTACTTCATTGTTCAATCCGCCATCAAACATAGCAAATAGAGCATCGGTAGGCGAGTAATTGAACGAGGCTTCATTTACAGTTGTTATTGCTAATCTAAAAAGCACGAGAAAGTGATGGATGAAGAGAAAAGCGTTGTGGAAACAAACCGATTTCGAATGCCAGAACTTTGCGCGAAACCAACGGACCATAATGAGGTGTCATGCGAAACATCGGATAAACCAGAAATATTGATTAAGGAAACAGTTTTTTGACTGAAAAACAAAATTCAATGAAGATCATTCTGAGGGAAAACGAACAAACCTTAATGATTTCAAACTATCTCTTTGAATATTAATTGCTTGATTTCCCGATAGGTCTAAGATTGTCAGCGATGTTGGAAACAGATTATCAATAGACGCGGAATCAATTTCATTAAAACTCAAATCCAATATCTAAAAAGAAAACAGGTCCGATTAATTCACTCAAATTTTTCTTCGAATTTTGCCTTTAATGAATTCAATCGACGAAGATCCGGTATTGCACGTAATAGATTCGAATGCAAACATAACATTTGTAAATTTTCCATAGCACTCACTACTGTTTGAGGTAAGACTTGAATGTTATTTCCTGATAAATTCAAATCTGTCAACGAGACCAACTTTTTCAAAGCCCTGAAGCACAAAATTTTCATTCATTCTTTTCTTTTTCATCAATCAATTCTTCTTACACATCATCGATTTGTTCAAGACGATTGTATGCTAAATGTAAAACTTTTAATCGGTCGTATCGGGAGATCAATGCGAAGACATCGTCATCGAGTTCATTGCACGAGAGATAGAGTTCTTGTAAACGATTCAAATCAGCTCGATCGTTCGGTAATGGTAATGAAATTAATTGATTTTGAGTTAAATTTAGAATTTTCAATCGATGAAGGTTTTTTAGTAAATTGACTGGAAGATGTTCGAGACGATTGGAATGAAGTAATAAGGTTTCAATATTTGAATTGATTATACGTTCGGGAAGATGTAATAAACGATTGTGATTCAATCGAACGTACTGGAGACGTTTGTTCGAGGTGAAAAATCTGAAAAATCAGTCATTTGTAATATGATTTGGAGAAGGAAGAGTTGAATTTACTTGGCAGGAAGAATATTGAGACGATTATGATCAGCAATTAATCGTTTCAATGATGAGTTTTCTTCATTTAACCAATCTGGGAGAATTTGGAATTCATTTCTACGTAAATTCAATCAGATACAACTGAATAATCAATAAAACAAACACTTACGAGCTTATATCGAGTTCCGTTAAGTTCAATGGAGCGGTGATAACATCAATATGTTTCAATTCTAAACAAATCAATCATAAACAAACAGAAACGAAATTTATCATCGAAATCTTTACTATTATGTGAAGCATTCAGTTGTATCAACGAGTGTCCATTCAAAATCAACCGAAATGTATTATTGTACGAACAATTCAAATGCTGAAGGGTCGATAATGAACGTAGATCCAACTCGTTAATACGATAATTATGTGAAATATCCAGATGTGTTAGATGTGTTAGTCGATTCAATAATATAAAATCATTTTCATCGAGCTTTAACTGATTCATACGTAAATCCAATTGACGGCAATGTTCAAGACTAAATAGAAAGAGTTCTAATCAAATTTTAACAAAGAATTTCCTACAATTGAGCAGATTCGGCTGCAAATTTTCGAATATGATTTCCGGCTAAACATATATTTGTTATGTCCGAGTACCGCACATTGGTTAAACGTGTTAACGACGTAGGAATATCTTTGAATAGATTGAAATCCAAATAGAAATCACGTAGACGTTTAAGATTTTCAATTTCAGTTGGTAAAATCGATAAACGATTGCTCTGCAAGTTCAGAATTTCCATACTAAATAGAACGAATTCATATTTTTTTTTGTATGAAAATCACTATGCGATCGATACCTTTGTAGTTTTTCGATATCACTTGGAATACAATCGATTCCATTACTTGCAAGATTGAGATCGATCAAGCGAGGAAGATGACAGATGACGATCGGAAAGATTTTCAGGTCATTATCAGCGAGATTTAGACTTGTTAAGTATTGAAAACGTGTTAAATCGTCTAACCAACCTGAAAAGCAAACGTATCATGAGGTGTTTGTTGTTATAAGAGATAGTTTTACAAATTTCAAAGGTTTCAACAACTACCTTGATAATTTCAAATGAAGTATTCAAACCTTAGAAGAGTCTTTCTTTATAGGTATCACGAAAAACACGGATTAGATCGATCAAACACTTACCAACAGTGAAAACGACTTCATCGGCCGGTCGCATGAGTAAATTATTATGACGTAAATTGAGTACAACTAATTTCGAATTGACAAATAGATTCTTCGGAATCAACTCCAAATGACTCGAGGAATAATCAGCAATATCCGGTAATTTGTTCGTTGTCTAAAGAAACACTTTCGTTGAAAAGTAAGAAAAATTCATGAAATTCAATACCTTTCGTAGACGTTTCAACCACCGACTGTATTCTTCATCATTATTTAAAGCCATATACAAAACTTCGTTTTTACCATCATCAACGATCAGTTTCAAACAAAAGGGTTTATCTTTCGATCGAACTTCTTCAACACTTGCACGTTGAAGTTCTATCACGTATGGATTTGTATTTGCATCTAGAAATAGATAATCAAATCAAGTTCTTTTTTGTATTATGTTGATCGAACCAGGATAGACTGTTAGTCGACTAGTTGATATGACGCATTTTCGCTTCGTCCATTTTCGTATTAGTTTGCCTTTTCGAATCCAAGCTAATGTTGATAAACTTCGAGGTTGAATTTTTGGATCAATAATCAATCGATCTTAAATAAACACGAAATAATTGAAAAAAAAACGCATTAATGAATATTCTTTTTCTCTACCAGAAAGGAAGCGTATTAAATAACCAAGATCGTGTTTATCACCTTCTTGTTGCAAACGTTGAATGCTCGAAAATCCAATCGATAAGAGATAGTTATGTTGAATGAACAACGGCTTTTCATCGGGACGTAAATGTTGAATTCGATCGCCATGATATTGCACGTACCATGTTCGAGGATCCAAATCATTGTTCAATCTTGAACAGATTTGTTCAATAGTGGTCCACATGGTGCATGGGACAAGTTTCGAACGTGGATAAGACGATGAAGCATCGTTGGGATCATATAAACGAATGAAACCGTTGTTAGAATCGAGTAAAAGCCATTCGTCGATGTTATTTATATTGGTTTGATTCAGCGGATTGATCGATGAAAGAGTTGTTGTTAATGTTGTAAATGCATTCTCACCTGAAGGTGGTGTCATAATGGAAGTTTCATTGCGATTGGGTGCTAAACTAATGTATTGTTTGAGAAATTGTCGATTGGGATAGTAGAGATCATCGGAAATATTCACAGACGCCAGATTGAAACGGTAAACGAATGTTGACACGAGCGTGTTTTATAACAATTATGAAGATCATGGCATTCATCACGCGCAAACGCGTGGAAGAACTAGTAAAGAGTAATATAAGCTTTCTCTTTCGTTTTTTTCTCACTCATTTTTCGTTCTTGTTCTTTCTTATGCCCTTTTTCTTTACTGTTCTTTCAACTCAACCAATCTTGAATTTTATTTGAACGAATCATTTTGAAACGAATTTAATTTGACAACGTGCGATATCTATTGAAACAGGTCACTTTTTCTCATTTGAAAATATGAAAGAGAACAAATACATGTCAACCATTTGATCGAAATCATGAAAAACAAACCTGACTATGAGTTCTATGAGTTTCTCTGTTTGTCTGAATTACTGATCCTTTTTCACTGCACGAGAAAAAGTCAGATATTTACCGATGAATAATAACGAAGATTAACATTTGCGTACCTTTAAAAACATCTTTTCGAGTGGTACACGATAGATACTCTATCAAACAAAGAAAATTAGCACTTAGAAGATCACATTGCCCTTTCAATTGACTAACAACTCTTCGTCTTATTTCTTGAAATGATTAGTTTCTTTATTTGATATATAAAAATAATAAATAGTAGACAAACTGCAGAGATATCTGATCAGCATAAGCTGTTATCTACGATAAATTTTTGTATACGACTGTTACCCTTGTCAACCACGTAGAGGTTTCCGTGAGAATCAAGTTTTAAACTTGTTGGATCGCTTAGCTGATTCGCATTATTTCCAGCTGCCATAGTGGCATTCCCAACAACTACAGAACCTTGTTTGTCACCGATTCTCCATTTGACAATTCGATGATTATAACTGTCAGCGATGAACATCGTTCCATTCGTAATAAAAATCGCTTTTGGTCGATGTAATTCGTTCAAATTCTTTCCAGGACTGGAATCTGAGTTTCCAGCAACCGTCGTCGCATTTGTCGCCTTATTTTGCCAAAATTGAATTCGATGATTGAGGGTATCAGCAACATAGAAATTACCATCCATATCGACGAAAATACCTTCTGGTGATCGAAGTTGATCCCCATTGGAACCCATACCAGTAATACCAGCAATTGTAGTAATATTCTTTGTAACATTCGACCATAAAACAACACGGTGTTTATTTCTATCGCATATATACAAACTGTCTTTTATAGAAGCCAAACTGAAGGTAATTTCAACATTGCCACGAGGAATGATTGTAGTTAATTCACCCTGTCCGTCCTTTGCAATACGTTCGATAAGTTCTTGATTGTCTAATTCGCGTGAAAAGTAAATCGCTTGTTCTTCTTGATTCAATGTAATGGCATGTGCAGTTACACCGGCAAGTATAACACGTTTTTCCAGAGTACGTAAATGATATCTGATCAGGCGATCTTGGGCTGTCTCTGATACATAGAGATATTCGCCGTCAATAAATAAATCACGTGGACTCTGTAGACTATCGGCGATAGTCACGCCGTTTTCGTCCCATTTTGACAAATTGCAAAGAGTGCCGGTTCCTATCGGACGACCTAAATTCGAATAGTATGTTAACAAATATAAGAAAAGAAGGGTACACGAACGTTCCTCAACATGAGAATATATGAAGGGGATACATTGGCAGTTATTCGAATTGCTTCTACCTTTTCGAACAACAAACAATATGGCCGTTGAGTTCACTTACCAGTCGTGCTGATACTCATAGTTTGAGTATTTGTTGTTGTTCTAGTAATAGCTGTTGTTCTAGTAATAGCTGTTGTTGTTGTGGTGGTGGTGACTATTTGAAGTGTATAGAAGAAATTTTTTATGAAGAGCGTTTTAAATAGTTGTATCCTACTTATAGTATTTCCATCATTGAGAATGTTTTTGGTCGCTTTTTTTCCAAACTTGACTGCCACAACCGTCACAGCTACTGCGACGACGACGAAGACTATGGAGAAAACAATGCAGTATATTCTACGCCTACTAACGAACACTCCGGTCTTCTTAGCAGGCGATTCTTTAGGAGCAGACGATTTCTTTGGAGCAGGCGATTCTTTAGGAGCAGGCGATTTCTTTGGAGCAGGCGGTCTCTTTGGAGCAGGCGGTCTCTTTGGAGCAGGCGGTCTCTTTGGAGCAGGCGGTCTTTTTGGAGCAGGCGATCTTATTGGAGCAGGCATGGAGTAGAATTTTGAATTCAGTGAAATACTGATAGATCATAAAGTTCACTAACAGTGAAGAGATTTCTCTCTGAAATAAATACTGTTATTCGTTTTCAAAGTTTGTAAAACGGAACTTTCCAACAAAAGTAATACTCAACCGTTGTATAGTGCACAGTATCGTTAGCTGGTTGACTTATTTGCACTATTTTAGCAAGTGCTTAATGAGATCTGAGTATGATAAATTCGAAACTTTCAATCACAATGGTATTAATACCCCTGCGTTGTGATGAAATACTCGATTACCTACACTTTTCTTCTTCTAACCGTTGCTGATAGAGAGACACTTGAGAAAAAGAATGTAAATGAATTCATATCTGCACAATCGTACATCACACAACAATTTCCAAGATAAGAAAGGCTCGAGCATTTATTGCGTTAATATTGGCTTTTTTTTGTGACCTTGGTATTTTCAAATGAGTCAGAGACAACGTAGGTTGAAGTCTGCAGAGAGAAATTAGCGAATTTTTAAACTGATAACAGTCGTACGTAATTCATACGAAACTGTGCGTAGGTGTTGACATGACTTTCGACAAAAATATGTTCTAATACTTGAATCTACGTTTTCAATCACTTGCTCAACTGCTTATCTTTTGTGTATGTTTTGAAAAAAGTTTTGTTTCTAAATAGCATAGGATCAATTTATTATGTCAGAAGTGCTATAAAAACTGTTTTTTAGCGAATAGAATGCAAACAGTGCAGATCATCTGAACACTTTTTTTATGAATCTTGTTTAACAAACAACTCCAACGTACATGTCACCAGCACAACTTTGTTCAAACAGTTTTGAATGTGAACAACCTCCAAGAGTCGTACTACTTGAAGTGCATTTGAATTGTTCCATTAAAAATGTGCAGGGAACAACGATTTTATCCATGCCATATTGAAAGAGACATTCACTAAATGGTTGATCACCAATAGGACGATTCAACAAATATACTGCATTGGATCCTTTTCCTAATGAACGACAAACTGCATTGGCTGCATGTTGATCGAAACCGTTTTGACAAACATGTCCATCAACATAAAAGTAATCTCTTCGATCGGAACCGACATGTTCAAGTTGAACTTTGGCGCGAATGCGTAATGGAAGTAATTCTTGAACGGTTATATCGACGATTGAACGCGTTGAAGAAAACAAGCTGAACATATTATGACAAGTTTGTTGCCAAGGTAATAATGCTCTCATTGATGAGCTATTTTGTAAGCTAGCTTGAAGCTCGTGCATAATACTCTCACCGAATGACATACCGCTTGATTGAGAAGTAATCAAAGCAAGAATGAACAATGTTGAAAGAACGAATTGCATACTTTTCGATTGACTGATTGAGAAAATGAGCTAAAATGGAAGACAAACATGTATATCAGAAAATAGCAACTTAATTCTAAGCTACTAATCACTTACTTTGATTGTTGAAAGTGATTGAAGTGATGTTAGTGTTCGACAAGTGCAGTATTTATACCGGTGCCTTACCCCTTCGGCTGTGGATTCTCGGACTTCTTATCAGTTCCTCTCTTTCTTACACACTCACTTCCTCGGAAAACCGCCATCTGTTGTACATTGACTTTCGGAATGAGATTCGCAAACGATTCGGCGAGAATCTTATCTTTTGACCGCGTATTACCATTAGCAAACAATAAGTCATACTGGTCCAATATCACCTGTCAAATTCACACCAGCTGAAATGAGTGATGTCATACAACTTATCAGCTGTTTTTCTTGATTTTGCGAAATAATACTTCCATCCGCGAATACTTTCTTCACTACTATCCAAATGTACGCTTTAAGCGGAAAAACCCCCTCTTTCTTATACTTCACAAGAATTCAAAACGCAAAAGAACACTTGTTGACATGTAGCGAACTCTGTTGAAACAGGTAACAATAAAGGTGTTGTCGTCTAGTAGAGATCCACAATCGAAAATGGTTGTTGTTCTCAACAAAAGTGTGTTGCTTTGAAACAAAACAGACATTAGTTTCTTTTTCACACATCAATACGAACGATGGTTAAGAAAGACGACGAAATTAGTGTTTCCTCGGAAACCAAGGGGCCTTTGAAAAGCTTCCAAGCATTGATGGGCGAAGGTGAAAAGTTTTCTCGAGATAAACTTTATATTAAAGCTATTCAATCTTACACCGAGGTAAATCGATTTTTCCAAGAAAAACTTCTATTTTGTGCGAATCGCATCTAGGCACTTGATCTTTTGCCACAAGATGATGATAAATCGACTGCGAAAGATATTAATGATCGATTGAACGGTTTAGTAGCTCGATCAGCGTGTTATCTGAAGATTGGCAAGAATAACTTGGCATTACAAGATGCCGAAGAATCGTTGAAAAGCAATAAAGAATTTACCAGAGTAAACCGTTGATTTCGCGTTGTTTTTTCTTCTTCTTAAAAATGCATGTTTCGTCATACAGGGTTTGTATCAGAAAGCAGAGGCGCTGTACGCGATGGGTGAATTCGAATTAGCATTGATGTTTTATCATCGTGGTAAAAAACTTCGATCCGATTTACGAGAATTTCAATTGGGCATCAACAAAGCACAAGAAGCAATTGATAACTCCGTCGGAGGTATTTGAAAACACTACAACAACGCTTTTTTTCTATAATTTCGACTTTTTCTTCATTTTAAAGATCCAAACCGTGTGAAACTTGAAGCTAGTGGTGATTTGTCGATTTTCTACAAGAACGACGAGGTAAATTATTCAATTAGATATGACCGTATCTTTTCACATTTGCATGATATTTCACAGGATGAAGCGAAAAAGGTGATTCTTTTTATTCTCAGTTTGAAAATAACTAACAGACATCTTTTTTCTCGAGTGATTAATCTGCTATTAAAGAAATTCTGCTTGAATTTGATCTTCAGTTCGATAGAATACTGATGCCTATTTGTTTTTTCCTTTCTTTCTCGAATGATAATAGAAAAAGAAACAGCCAATTGGTTATGTCCGAGCATCACAGAAGAAAGATACGACTGTTCAACGAAAACCACATCCACCGCCAGCGAATCCGCGAACAACAAAACACCTCTTAGGTGATTTATACGAAGATCGTGTTTTTCTCGATAAAATTATCAATAACACAAGTAAATCATTCTACGATTTTCTATCCTTCATCAAAACATGTGTGTTTTATAGCCGTAACAAAACCAAATACGAGATCTGGTGATGCCATTTACCAGCTAGCATCGGATGGTATCGATTATTTGGATGGTCGAACACATTTCTGGCGTCAACAAGAACCACTCTATGCTCGTAAATCGCTCAAAAAAGCAGACAACAATGATGAAACCTACAAATATGTTCATCGTGAACTTGAAGCAATTGATGAATGTAAAATCACATCTTTCCTTTCATCAGATAGATAATTCTTCATTTGTAGTACAAAACATGGACCAATTTGTTGATGCTCGCCGTCGTGCACAACGTCTACTTGAATTCTGCGAGCGCTTAGATGAACGCAAATTTCCCGAAAAACAACCAGTCATTGCCGATGTTTATTCACGTCTAGGCAATGCCTACTTAGAATTAGGCGATTATAACAAAGCATTAGATTACCATTTCCGAGATCTCACATATGCCGAATCGAAACACGATACCGATCGATCATCACGAGCATTGGATAATTTGGGACGTGTCTATGCTCGTAGTGGACAATTCGCACAAGCTATTCAAGTTTGGGAACGAAAGATACCATTAGCATCATCTCCGTTAGAGAAAGCATGGCTATTTCATGAAATCGGCCAATGTCATTTTGGACTTGGTGAGCCATGGGAAATTTGGGTGACAATCAAAGAGAATCTTTTGTGTTTCAGGTGATTATGAACGTGCGAAACGATATGGTGAACGATCTTATGTTGAAGCTGTTGCCGCCAATGATCCAATTTGGCAATTGAATGCTAAAGTTCTTGTTGCACACAGTGAAACCAAACTACGACAATATCGTGACGCGGAGAAAACATTTGAAGAAGCTTTGGAACTTGCACGGAATCAACGTAAGTCTAACATATTTTTTGCTAACAGGTAAATTGTTTATCGACTGAATCATTGACAAATATTTAGAAATAAAAGATTTACCAAGTGAGATAAACACTTTCTTAGAAAATGTTGCACGAACTTCGTGGGATGTTTCTTTTCTTATGCATGAAAAATGTTCTTCTTTTCGTTTTTTATGATCGATCTCTACAGTGAGTTGACTTTCGATTTGATTGTTTAGACGACATGGCTGCTGAAAGAGCTATCGAACGTGCATTGAAAGATGTTCGAGATCAAATCGCTAAAGGCGCTGCTGACTGTAAGTTAACTACAAAATCTTCTTAACACAAAACATTTGTCTCTTTATTCTTCATCATACAGCTCCACCTGATCGTGCAGGTAATTTCACCGAGGCAAATCATCTTTTCAAACAAAAATTCCTTTTTCTTTTACAGAAACAATGTATGACATCAAAGTTAATAGTGATGAACCCATCGAATATGCTGATGATAAGGAAAGTTTGATCAAACTAACCATCTTTGGAGACAATGGAAGCTCAGGTTCAATTGACCTACGTGGTAATGAAAATGATCCAAAGAAATACGATGGATATACAACAACATTGAAAAAGAAAGCGTACGATGCCGGAAAAGTAGGAATTATATATTTCATAATTAGCAATAGTTTCGGATGGTGTTTTGCTTGATAGTTAACGAAATTAGCATTGACATGTACAAAGATCGGATCATGGCCGCTTGATTCAATTGAAATCTCAGATAGTAAACGAAAAACTAAACAAAAGTATGAAGAAAAATGTTTGTTCGAAGTAGCGAAACAATTTGCTTTGAATTATGTTAGATTCTTATTGGCTGATTCGATTGAATCAACAACAACTGTTATCGACTTGTTTCCTGAAGGATGTAAGTCGCACTAAGAGATCTACTAGAATAAATGAATTCATTCTAGCAATCGTCGAATTTCCATTCGATACGCGAAAGAATAATAAGAGTAAGTTGAAACAAATCAATAGATACACTCGAACTTGATCTGTAGAAGGTAAACCAAAACCAGTTCAAAGTGGAAGACAACTTTCTGCAGCACGACAAGACGACTCGCCAAAACCAGGTGAGAACTTTCTTTAGATAAATCAATACAGTCAATTTGTGTGTTATTTTAGTTCAATACACAGTCACAACTAAAACTGGCTCAGCTTTGGGATCTGGCACTGATGCCAATGTATTCATTACTCTCAATGGTGATAAGGACAAAATTGATCGACATCGATTGGGAACACCAGAATCAAACCGAAATCCATTCGAAAAAGGCTCAAAAGATGACTTCAAATTCGAAGATACCGATGTTGGCAAAGTTAGTCTCCTTGTCCGATTTGTTCATAAGAAATACCGTGCTTATTTTTCCAGTTGAAAACTATTGTTATCGAACATGACAATTCGGGTGCGGCATCCGGTTGGTTCTTAGATTCAGTTGAAGTCAAATACAATGGCAATACTTACAAGTATAAAAGAGAATTCTTTATGAAGGATTCGATACGAGATTACCTTTTTTAGATTTCCTGTCGGACGTTGGCTCGATTCAGATGAAGGAGACAAACGTATTAGTCTCGAACTTGAACCGAACAAGAAACCTGCATCAAAGATCGCCTCAGGTAACTGCCAACAATGGTCTTGGAATCTTGACTTGATAAAAAACCTAATTTCTTTCACTTATATCAGAATTAGAAGATAACCAAGAAGAATCACGTTCTTCTATTTCGCCACCTAATGAAAAGAAGGCGAGACCATCTTCTACCGAAAAAGTTGAATATGATGACTTTTTCGATGATGATAATGATGATGGTTCGTCATCTAGTCACTCCTCTCACCGCTAACGTCTCTTCTGCTATATAGCATGCTTTCGCTTTTCAATGGGACATTGATCGATTTGCTTGTGAAAGAAAACCGAATAAATATTTTGATGAATATTTTTTTCCCAATGTTTAGATGATTCCCATGCACCGAATGCTGTCGATTATGAAGTCACTGTGAAAACAGGCGATAAACGAGGAGCAGGAACTGGTAAATTTTCGAAAAAAGATTCTATCTAAACCGAATCGTTTATGCAATAGATGCAAATGTCTATTTGAGTATGTTTGGCGATAAGACCAACTCAGAACGTCATGAGCTGAAAGAAACCATGGATCGTACCATAAATCGATTTGAAAAAGGCGCAACAAATCGCTTCAAAATTCAAGGAGCTGATGTTGGAAAGGTAATTTAAGAGAATAGAGAGTACGAATTACATCGGAGAGTTAATTTAGATTAAAACTATTCGTATTGAACACGATGGTACTGGAATCGGTGCAGGTTGGTATCTCGATTCCATCGAAATTCATCATGTTTCACGCAATGAAACTTACGTGTAAGTTATCTTGTTCATAGTTGACCATACTATTGAACCATTTCATGTAGATTTCCTGTTGATCGTTGGCTGGATACAGGCGAAGGTGATAAACGAATTTCACTCGATCTCGAACCAGACAAAAAACCTGGACAAGCTAAAGGTTGGCATTGATTTCTTATGGAAAAAAGATAGTCTCTATGAAAAATCTATCGTCTTGTTCAGATAGCAAAACTCCTGATCCTAAAGCTTCTGAAACATCAAGCACAACAGACGCAAGCAAAAAGACGGCGAAACCCGACGATCAATCAACGTCGAAAAAAAGTAATTTTCTTGATCTTTCTTCACAAAAAAACTCTATTTCTTATCATTTATTAGCAACTCAATACTTAGTCACCGTTAAAACTGGCTCAGCCATGGGATCTGGTACTGATGCCAATGTATTCATTACTCTCAATGGTGATAAACAACGAATCGTTCGACGTCCATTGGAAAAACCCGACTCTGGTCGAAATCCATTTGAAAGAAACTCCAAGGATGACTTTAAATTCGAGGATACCGACGTTGGTCAAGTAAGTCGAGTGATTCTCAATAGTTTTATATGTTTATTATGATTCTTTCTAGTTGAAAACCATCGTTCTCGAACATGATAATACAGGTCTCGCTTCTGGTTGGTATTGTGATTTTGTCGAAGTGAAATACAATGGCAACACTGTCAAGTACGAGAAGCTGTAGAACATTCTTTTTTTTATTCAACTTGACGTTGTTTTAGATTTCCTATTGGACGTTGGCTCGATTCAGATGAAGGTGACAAACTTATTAGTCTTGAACTTGAACCCAACAAGAAACCCTCGGCCAATACGACAACAGGTAAACAACGTTTGATTGTCTCACATTTGAAATAAATGTTTACTAATCTATACTAACTATAAAAGGGAAATCTTCTTCTACTTCGTCGAACGATGAAACTAAAAAAGGATCATCTTCTGCGGAAGAAAAAAATGAATATGATGATCCTTTTGATGAAGAGGGTTAGTGAAACCGATCTATTTCGTGATGTCATTGTAATTATTACCCTCATCCGCTATTGCTTATTGATCAATATATCGCATGTGCTCTACCTATTTATTGTCTTGTAATCTTTGTATTTGTTGTAAAATTCATATTTAGATGATTCACACGCACCAGATGCTGTTGACTACGAAGTAACAGTGAAAACAGCGAAGAAAAAAGGAGCAGGCACAGGTCAGTTGTATTATTTGCTGAATTTCTTAGGGAAAAATTTGTATTTTATTATTGAATAGATGCCAATGTATATCTGGGCATGTATGGTGACAAGACCAAGACAGAACGACATCAATTGAAAGAATCAATAGAGAAAAGTCGAAATCTTTTCGAATCGGGCGCTACAAATCGCTTTAAAATACATGCAGCAGATGTTGGCAAAGTAGCAGCTTAATCGAATTTCAACTGCAATCACTTATAACATGATGTTTTGTTTTCAGATTAAATCTATTCGTATTGAACATGATGGTACTGGAATTGGTGCTGGTTGGTATCCCGATTCGATCGAAATTCGCCATATCTCGCATAACGAAACCTACTTGTGAGCATGAAACTGAGATTGAAACGAAGTCTATCGAAAAAAAAAAACTTTTTTTTAGCTTCCCAATTGACCGCTGGTTAGATTCAGGTGAAGGTGACAAGAGAATTTCAATCGATGTTGATGCATCTCAAAAGCCTGGGCAATCCAGTGGTAATGTCATAGTGTAACACGATAATCAATACGAAACCTACTTCTCCATTTTTAGAAAGTAAATCACCAGATCCAGCCTCAACCAAAAAAGGTAAAGATACTTCAGATTCACATAGTAACTGACAGTTTTACTAAACGAAAAACTAAATGTTTCTTTTGAAGAACCAACTCCAGCTAAGAGTGAACCAGCTCCAGCTAAGAGTGAACCAGCTCCAAAAGCAACTACAACAACTCAAGCTCCTTCTGATCCCAATAAAAGTAGATTTATCTATTCCATTCAGCTCGATATTTTACACAAATCTTGTCTTACTCTGCTTTTTAGAAACTCAATATACAGTTACAACAAAAACAGGTTCCGCATTGGGTGCAGGGACTGATGCCAATGTTTATATCACTCTCAACGGTGATAAGAACAAGGTCGTTCGACAATCACTGGAAAAACCTGAAGACAGTTGGAATCCATTTGAACGAAATTCGAAAGATAATTTTGTTTTCAACGAAGTCGATATCGGCCAAGTGAGCTCATTCTTATTTTCTATTCTTATTGAAGTTAACCATCTTCGTATTAGTTGAAAACTATCATTATTGAACATGATGGTACTGGTTCGGGCGCCGGATGGTTTTGCGATTTTGTCGAAGTGAAATACAATGGCAATACTGTCAAGTATGGATAGAATTTTCATAGGAATATTTTCATTTGTTGTCTCTCTCAGATTCCCTGTTGGACGATGGCTTGATGTAGATGAAGGTGATAAACGTATCAGTCTCGAACTTGAACCCAATAAGAAACCTCCAGCAAAAATCATAACCGGTAACTAAAAACGTTCAATCTTGAATATTGTTCGTAACAAATTATTTATTGCAAACATTGTATATCAGAAGGAGATGATCTTTCTACTTCATCGAATGATGACAATAAGAGAAGTAAATCCCCTAAAGAAAAAGTTGAACGTGACGACTTTTTCGATAAAGAGGGTTAGTTGCTGCAAATCTATTTCGTGCTGTCTTCGTCATTAGTTTCTAGTTTTTTTTGCTATTGTCTGCTTGTACTTAGTTGCGAAAGTGATTGTCGTGCTTTTTTGAAATTTCTGTATCACACTAGATCATTAATGATGTTTGTGAAATCGTTTAGATACTTCGAAAGCTGGTAATAATGTCGAATACGAAGTGACAGTGAAAACAGCGAAAAAGAGTGGAGCAGGAACAGGTAATTTTGACTCGCATGATGATTGTACGGGAACATGTCCGATGATTTTGACATTGATTAGATGCAAATGTTTACCTCGGCATATTTGGTGAACAAGGCAAAGTGGAAAGACAAGAATTGAAAGAACCTATAGATAAAAGTCGAAATCTATTCGAATCGGGAGCCACAAATCGTTTTAAAGTTAACGCACCAGATGTTGGAAAGGTAAAATATTAGGAAATGATTAAGAAGAAAATTCTTCTATGTCTTACAGATCACAACTATTCGACTCGAACACGATGGTAGTGGAATCGGTGCTGGTTGGTATGTGGATTCCGTTGAAGTTCGTCATGTTTCGCATAATGAAACTTACAAGTAAATCATGTTTGTCGTGAATGAGAATAACACTGATTTCTTTTCTTTAGATTTCCTATTGATCGTTGGTTGGACGCTGGCGAGGGTGACAAACGAATTTCACTTGATCTTGAACCAAACAAAAAACCTGGACAACTGAAATGTAAGAATTAGTTTCTCGAATTCTATTGAAGCATTTTCAGAGAATGAATTCTAATTATTATTCATTGATGATTATCTGTTATTTTGAAAATCTTTCCAGATGATGATGATGATCATGAAAGAGAAGAGAATATAGAGTACGAAAAATCGAAAACAGGTGATGAAGAACAAAACACACAATAAGAGTAAATCCATAATTAGCTCGCATATCTTTCTCTTCTGCACGCGTTTCAAATATATGTGATGTGATTGAATCACTATTCGCTGTAAATACCGAACAATTTTCTCAACGATTCTCAGCTCGTCTTCGTTTATACATTCACAGAATTCATTTTCTGTTATCTTTATTTTTAGAATGAACGTTATCTTAGCACAACGACTGAGACAATGTGCCTGGCTTAATCCAATTTTCGTATCTATGATCATATTTTGATTATTCTTTTTTGTGTAAAGAAATAAAAGTATCAATTCTATTAGACTCATCACCAATTATCTGGTACTATAATTGCAATGAAAACAGTGAACTCATGAAAGGTTAGTGCGTGAGATAATCTAACAGACGAAGATCAAAATAATTCGTATGTGACGATCCGTTTAATTAGGGAATTATGAATATTGCACTTGTATTTCTTTGTTTACTGAACTTCAAAGTACAATACAATGACAAGGACGTTTATTTGAATCGCAAGAGAACGTCATTTATCGATGAGATTGATGGATATATTTAGGCGTTTATATTTATTAACACCAATCCTACGATCGAAATGATGATAGACGGTTGATAGTTCATCTGATGTTACAGTTCGAGTCACTGATGCCAACAAAACTGTTGTTCCCCGTGCTAGCACCAGATGGTGCACCGGGCAAAGGCATGTTATCATAGAATGAAGTTAATTTTGCGTTGTTTGCTTCATCGAGTTGTGGTAGAACCGATGTCGGTTGAATTTTTACTAAAACAAGATCTATACCGTGCCCATCGACAATTCAAACAAAATAAAACACTTACAATTGTTGTTGTCCATGAATTTTCCACAGGAGAAAGGGCAAAAATGTACGAATTAGTATCTATAAGAAAATATTGACAAAAACGAGATAAACTGTACTCGTCAAGTTTGTTTTCTGGCGATAAATGTCTATCTTTAGTATTCTGTTGTAAATAGAAGTGCCATTTATTTCTCATATCACTGCTGTCAGTCGAAATGGCCTATTCTTCGTTGTTCTTTTTATTCTGTTTGAAAGATAAGAAAGAAAAGTACATGCGTTCCTTTTATTCGCTGTTTCTGACGCGTATTATTTTTCCTCTCTTGAGAACGCGATTCTTTATTCTGTCTACTAGATGGCAGAAACTACTCTACGTTCTGGAACATCCACTAAATCAAGTTTAGCACGAGATATCTTCTGGATTATCATAAGCATGCTAACTTAAACTTCTCGTACAAACAAAATTCTAATTATGATTCGAGTCAGCTTGTGAATCTATAAGATTTCCGATGGTCACTATTAAAAGCAGTTTTTTTTATCTAAGTTAGCCATCATACTGGCTTATTCCTATCGTGTATTTTGATGCATAAAAAATTAAAAGCACGAAGTGCAAAAAACTAGATCATATTTCAGCACACTATGCCGATCGATTGTTCCTTGTCTATGCTGTTGGATTCGTATAGCCTGCGTCTTTGAAGACATTTCTCAAAGCTTCTTTGACTTTTTCCAGATCATGACGAGTTTCTGTATCCGTTGCAGTGATACCCATATGTCCAACGCGGAAATATTTATCTTTAATATCTTTATGGAGACCACCAGCAACAATTATTCCTCGTTCAACCAATCGTGGGATGATATCTGGTGCTGATATACCATCAGGAAAGTAGATAGCGGTCATACCATTGGCAGCAATAGATGGATCTTGTGGAACCTAGATGAAATAACAGTACCGCTGGTGTTTTTATCAGTAATCTAGGTGATAGCTACCTGTTTTAATCCGAGTTCATTAGTAATGAACTGTTTAAAGTCAGTGCTCGCTTGTTTATGCTTCGTCCAACGTTCTTCGATAGGTTTGGATGTAATTGCTTTTAAACTAACATTAAGAGCACATATAAGTTGTACAGGAGGTGTGGCGAAGTACAACGGTTTTCCTTGTTCATAACCACGCATAACTACAATGAATAAAAAATGCTTAATCAATCAATGAGAGAATCTATGAAAGATTTACTAGGCAACCAGTTGAGCCAAGAAGCAAAATACGAGTTGATTTTAGTTTTACGCGTTTCAACCGCTTTAATTGCTCGTTCACTAGCACATACAAGGCATAATCCAGGCGGAACACCCAAACCCTTTTGACTAGCACACATGACAACGTCCAGACCCCATTCATCCATACGAATTTCTTCGCTGCCAACTGAACACACTCCATCAAGTGCAACTAATGTATCAGGACTAACTTCTCGTACGACTTCAGCTACTATTTGTGGATTACTGAGAACACCAGTTGATGTATCGACATGTGTCACGGTAATAATCTTATATTTCTTGGATTTCAATGCCTCTGCTAATTGTTCACGTGATGGACATTGACCAACAGGCGCTTTGAGTTGTGTAACTTTCACACCATACGTTTCGAAACAATCGGCAAAACTTTGACCGAAGTATCCGGAATGTAATACAAGTACTTCATCTCCAGGTTCAGTTAAATTACATGCAATCATGTCCCATCCGAGTGTGCCACTTCCAGCTGTTATGATCGGTTGTCCACGTTCAGTAACAAGTACTTGTCGGAACATTTTAATAGCTGCTCCGAATGTTTCTGTGAAACTTTTCGACATATGGGATTGAGATGGTGATGCATTGGCAAATAAAACATCATCACTAACTTCTATCGAGCCTGGTATTACCAAGAGAGGATGATCAACTTGATGGAATGTCATTTCGAATAATAGATTAAAACAAAATGTCTAAAAAGCGAAAGCAACACTATGTTATATACGCAGTAAAGAAAAAGGGAGTAGTAAGCAATTTTGATTCGTTGTTATCAACAGTGTTTACCGATGGCGATAAGGTGCGGACTCGCTGAATCACTATTCGAAGGAAAGATTAACAAATAATTTGTAGTATTCATATCTAGAGCGGTATCAATGATGAAATAGTGACATCTGAAGTTATAGGACGACATTGTATCCTAAGTTTGATAAAAGAATACGGTTCGTTTTATTTCATAAGAAAAAAAGATTAAAGAAATTTTAAAAATCAATTTGTCCGTGGAAGGATGATTGTTTTGAAAGCATAATTGCAATCCAAATAACTCGACTTTGTTCATCATATGTAAAACAGTTTTTTAATTGTTCTTTCGGAGCGATCTTGACAACAATTTGCCAGTTCATCACTCGTTCGAATGGTTGTGCATCAGTCGCTGTTATTGAACGTGCTGCTTTATCAAAAGGTAATTGTAAAATCAGTAATCTTTGTAAAGGATCATCGATATCGATACACAATGATTTGTTTAAATTACAGGAACTAATATGGATATTTAATCCGTCCCAGACTAGTCCGTTGGCATCGTTTAATTCATTGAGAAAAATCCATAGATGTAAAATGTATGAGCGATCATAGATAGAAGTCGGTTGACCATGATTTAGTGTGAATACACTCGGGTCAAGGAGAGGAATGATCGAACCTGCTCGGGCAAATAGCGGAACTGTGAATAGATCTGCTCTGATGTTCATTCTCCATTGACCGCCTTGAACAATTTCAGATCTGCCAATTCGATACCGGCCATCGGTGCTACCATCATAAATAAGATTCGTTGATAAATCAATCCATTGTTCACCTGATGGTAAATAGACATCTTGCACAATTTGATTTTGATGAACTACCGGTGCTACCAACAGATCATTACCAAATGTATACTGATATTCTTGCTGAATGGCTATTTCATCGTCATAATACGTCAATAAATGATGTCGCGTAATTGGAAGACCCGTTGCATGTGCTTCATGTGCACTGGTAAAGATGTACGGGAAGAGTTGAGTACGGAATTTAGCATATTTTCTCCAGACATATTCAGTTTGATTATTCGTAAAGATTTGTACACGTTCTTGAGTACAAGCTGAACCATCTGTTTCATCGTGCATAAAACCAGAAAATGTTCCTACTTGTAACCAACGTGTTAACAACTCCACTGTTAAATCTGGATAAAATTCACATACATAACCACCAATCGAGCTTGAACAATATGGTACACCACTTATTCCGACGCCGAGACATGCTTGGACATGAGCAGGTAGTCCTGAATACGGATTCCAATCAGCGCTGGCATCACCAGTCCAATGTAGTTGAGTATTCTGAGCACTATTGGTAAAACCACTGCGTGTATGAAAAACAAAATCCGATTGATAATTCTGGTTCAAAGTGTTCGATTCGTCAGGATGTAAATGATGTAATTGTTGAACTGCGGTGGAATTGACTGTCATTTCATAAACAGTTTTTTGGTAAAGTTCAATAAAACGATTGTGCATTTCATGACCGTATTTCCCATTATCTGATATGGAATCTACCGGAGTATATTCACCGAAATCTAACATAAACCCATTGTATCCCAAGTCGATACTTTCTTGAATTTGTTTCTGATACCAAAGTGAAGCATTACGATTACTAAAATCAATACTTGCAGTGAAAAAATGTCGACTAATTATATCACCGAAATATGGGAATAAATATGGAAGATTCGATTCATTCTTTAGGAAATAACCGTTCTCTAAACCTTCATTGAATAATTTTGTATACGATGTGGATACGTACGGATTGAAATAACATAACGATGTGACGCCAAGTGCGTTGTAAATACGATTTTCTGCGAGAATTTCATTTTCATGGCCTTAAATTCGACATAAGTAGAGATAAGAAATGAATTTTTATCAGACCGCTTTACCTTGTTGATCTCCTTTTGGAAAAAAATGCAAATAACCAATTCGAATTGTTATTGGGATATCTCGTTCGATCATACGTCGTACAACGTCGATTTCCGTTTCATTTCTCAAAACATTCGACGTTTGTTTCCATGGACCAAACGCAAATATCGGTGGAATTCGAGTCGTTTCACCTCGTGCTTGTACCAATGCGGTAAATGCTGGATTGATTCTCCTATTTTGTTCTCGATAGAGATTGTAAAATCTCTCAAACGGTTTTGACATAATCGATTTTATTGGTAAAGTCGTATTTGTAATGGGAAAATAGAATTGAATATTTGTACTATTCCATTCGGTAGTAACGATCCATTCATTCGGAGAAGTGAGATCGAAATTGACACGGCGACTTTCATTTACCCATACCGAATATTGACGATTCGATATAAAAAGTGGCATTGGAATGTAACTCGCATTGGATTGAGGTATTCGTCTGGAGAAATTTAGAAATGACCAACTACCATCTTCACTCCAACTATAGAATTTCTCTCCACGAAATCTCGTGAAACCCCAATAGGAACCAAAACCGTAATAATCTTCTTGACTATCTCGTGTTCGAAATGCTAAAGTCAAAAATGGAAAAACATAATGTGTCGATTTAGGATCGAAATGTTCTTTGAATCCCGTATATGTCACTTGTAGATGAACATTACGTTCGTTATCTTCCACAACGAATATCAAAGAAAAGTCCTGAAACGAAAATGTGATTGAATTTGGCGCAGGAGAACACGAGTACGATTCGAAATTGCCAATTATTCGATGTTCTTTTTCGAATCCAGCACGAAACATATATCCGAAATAGAGAGTTTCATAAGTACCTTCCCATATTCCAGCGAAAATATCTCGACTGCTCTGCAACAGAACATTTCGTGTCATTAAATCAATAACGGTCAATTTATAGGAAAGTTTTGACAAAACAATTTGAATGGTTGACGATGTTTGGAAGGATATATCTGTTGAATTTGCCTGAACATGATACGAGGATGGACAATCATAGGCAACGGACGTGATCACAAATAAAATTAGTGTTAATATTTGAATAGAAGAAAAACTCATTGTCAAGTCAACTAGATTGTCTTATCTTACGATCGACATGTTAAACATCAATGGAAATGAAGAGACAGCAACAGTTACTATCTAAATGATAACGGGGAGTGCGTTGAGTAAAACTAATCTCTAATCAGATTGTTCTGAATTTTTTCGCGAAAATCAATACAGAATTTATATATTGGTTCAGGTAATAGACCATACAAGAGGAAATTGTATAACACAGTCGAAGAGAGAGGGCGTTAGAATCTTTTTTTTTTCAAGTAGATCGATATGAAGAACATCTGTCTTTCTCAAAGAATGATATACTAAAGTGAGAAGCTACTAACCGAGAGCTTTACATAGTACTTCCGATAAGCAATTGAAAGAAAATTTTTCATGTTCAAGTTAAGTAATAGGAAATACAATTGCTACCTAACTCAGACACTTCTTCTTTTCATTCATAAGTACGACAGGCCACTATAAATAGCGTAGCATTTATATGGATGTGTGACGATGATCTGCAGTACCCTATCGACAAATGCTCTTGCTAAACAGTACATAAAACTGACCAATCGAAAAGAATTGTACTACAAGATGATGCGTTCGTATGAACATTATTTAAAACACCTTGCATTGTCTTTTCAATGATCTTCTGCAAAAGAGAAGCAACATGACAACATGTTATTGTCAACGAATAATCGTATTTTCTTCGAACACCTTCGAAGTACTACTTTACAGTCATATATTTGAATACCAATCGTTTCAAATGAAATATTAACAAAAAAAAAAGTCATGTACTATATAAATAATTATACGTTTATTAACACCTACATCGATAAACAAAGAGCATCTACTAATGTACATCGATCATCTACTTATTCCTCGATTAGTCCATTTATGTCATGCCTTCTGGTGAATGGATGACTAATTCGAAGTTAATTTTGTTTTTGAATTTCTCCACAGTGATTTTTGTTGACGGCTGAGAGTATCACTCATGATCAAGAACAATGAACGATTGTACATAATTAGCTAAACATGAGAGCTAATTGGAATGTGTGATAAATGATATCGACACCTTCGAATTGTTCTAAATGTATATGTAGAGAGAAGGTAGGTGTGAGGACGAGATGTCATCGTACAAGAGAAGTCACAGAACAGAACAAAATAATGCATATATATGTGATTCCAGAAGTTAAAGAAAGAGAGAGAGAGAGAAGGAATAAAAGTTCAATAGAGTAGAGAGAGAGCACAAACAAAGTTGTCGTTTTTATTGAAAGAAAAGGAGGAGAAAGAGAAATCTTGTAGGTAGGTGAAAGAGAAAACCATTTATATACAATCAAAAACCAACTTATTGCCATACTAATGATCTGATACACATGATGACATCTCTTTCTTTCGCTTTTTTTTATCGTTTATTCATTGAATGAATATATACTTTTGCCATTACCTACTAGCTCATAAATACAATCGCATCGGATAACGAAAGAAATGAGTGGGTGTTATTCCGTCGTTGATTATAATACTGTTCGAATGAATTTCAGCACGAGATGACAAACAGATTTCATTCTTGCCGTCTCATCCCTTAAATGATTTTCAATTAAATCTATTCATTTCTTCTTTCAGATTAACAATGTTCAACACATATTGTTCTCCTTCGAACATTTTATTCGTCTTTTTTTTATTATTATTATTCCAAAATCATCATCATGTAAGTGAAAATCTTTGTAAAACATTTTTCTTTTCGATTCAATCGTGACTCAAAGCAAGAGACAGAACACTTGAAATTTAAGTGATAGTTGTTCACTGTACACGCATCAATAATTCTTTGATGAGAACTAAATGTGCACAGATTCAATGAAAAGAACAAAATGTTTTTTTTTCTCCTTCTTTTCTATACACAGATCAATTGTCAAGACGCACCTTCTTCACTACAAATTGATTTAACACAATTGAATATTTTATCTCGTATAACTGTCGCGGGACAATGTTGTGATGGAACAATTTACATGGGAACTTGTTCCACATCTACATGTAATCTATATATGATTATTTGTTTAGATTTTGTCTACAGGTACGTTGAATTCGGATATACTTATTGTGGAAAATGTGCTTTGAGAATCGAGACAAGAATTTGATATACAATAGGTTATTGATTATGAATTCTTTTGGCTCAAAGGTCTTCGAGTAGAACTGACGTAATCATAGATGAGTTTGTTAAATCATTGAAAATTAAAAGTCATTTCGCAAGACATAATGAGAAAATAATATTTCATCTGTACGTTGTTTTTCTGCACTAAAAAAAACAAGTTTTCCTTGTTAATGGATGCTATTCAGCAATGAAAAATATGATTTTATTATTATTTTAGCGGTTTACAAACTAATTGGACGTATTGTCCATTAGGATCACGATCATTTCGAACTATGATAAATAATACCGGTCTTGTAAATTTTCATTCGCTCACTGATGTGGCACCATTTCTACCATTTCAATTTCCTTTAATATCTATACCTGATGTAAGGAGCAATCGAACTTTGATAAGGAAAAATACATTTATTTGTCGATTAGAATACTATGGTTATCAAATTCTTTGTCTTTTATGATTATATACGCATTGGAAATCTTTCATTAATCAATCAAAATACATTATTAAGTCGTTTCTATACCACATTCCGAACAGATGCGTCATCTCCATCGTCAACTTCAGGTACATTTCTTACTACAGTTCTCTACGATGTTGCACAGAATGGAACACAATTGAATAGGTAAATTTATTTCAGTAGTTATCTTTCTTTTGTCTCTGTACCGAAAATAAATCCTATTTCGATATTTAGCTTGGCTATTGGAATGAAAAGTTATTGTCAAGCGACATACTATGGCCCTTCATGTTCAATTAGATGTATTCCAAATGATGATTGTACCAGTTCTTATTCATGTAATGCAAGTACAGGGATGAAAGTTTGTTCACCGGGCTGGATTGGAACAGAGTGTGCAGTACGAGATTCATCGTATGTTCAGTCGGGTTGTACATCAGCTGGTAAATATTTTTTACATGAGAGGAAGAATAAATTTGAAATATTTTCTATTCTTTTTGTTTTAAGCATTAACGTGTAATAATGGTGGTTTTTGTCGAGTGTTTAACAGTACGAATCAAGCAACATGCTGTTGTGCGAATGGTATAGTTCAATTGTTTTACCTGTTTGAATGGGAAAACGTTGTGTCTTTCGATAGGTTTTACTGGTTTTAATTGTCAATATTTATCAACATGTACACCCAACATAAACTGTTTTAATGGTGGCGTATGTACTGCTGCGTATGATCCAGTTTTGCGTACATCTTATTATGTATGCACCTGTGCAACTGGGTATGTCACAAATGATAATCGATTCTTGTGAATAGAAAATAACGTTTTTATATGTGGGAATTTAGATATTCAGGATTATATTGTCAACAAAGTCAACAATGTCCTACTGGGTTATATGGGCCAAACTGTACTGTTCAATGTTATGCACCTAATTCTTGTAGCGCTGGTCATTTCACATGTAATTCGAATGGCGTTCCGACATGTTTGTCGAATTGGTATCCAGAAAATAGCTGTCTGTCGAAAAATCTTTCATCTTATATTGATCCGGAATGTCCTGATGTATTGGGATGTCGTAACGGTGGTTCATGTTTCAACGGGTCATGTTGTTGTCCATCAGCGTATACTGGTAAGTGAAAATATCCATAGCAATGATAGAACTAATAACGTCAGAACTCTCTCTATTATTCAGGTCGTTTGTGTGAAACATCAATCAGTGCATGTTCAAGCAATCCTTGTCGAAATAATGGTTTTTGCGTAGCGTTAACCACAGGATTCCAATGTCAATGTTCCAATTCTTACACAGGTGTCTACTGTGAAACCACACTAAATCCGTGTAATTATTCACCATGTCGAAATGGAGGTCAATGTTATGCATTAGCAAACAACTCATTCTACTGTGTATGTCCAACAGGTCTGATTTTGAAACAAAAAGAAAGAATATGCATCCTTTCTATTCATTCATTGTGTAGGTTTTACGGGCCAGCTATGCGACACTCAAAATGATTACTGTCGATCACAACCGTGTGCAAACAATGGAGTCTGTATCAGCACATCAACTGGTTTTTCATGCATCTGTCCATCTACTTATACGGGTCTCACGTGTGCAATTGCACTTAATCCGTGTCTTTCCCAACCATGCGTCGCAAATAATACATTGAGTTGTGTCAATAATAACAATTTAACGTATACGTGCAGTTGTCGAACTGGCTTTTCAGGTTTGAACATAGAAGATAGGGAGAATGAATGATAGACTAGATTTCTATTCGAAGGTTCCACTTGTGCACAAACCGCCACTTCTTGCCTGTCCGTGACAACGCCATGCCGAAATGGTGGCACGTGTATAAACACAGTAAATGGTTACGTTTGCCAATGTGATGGAAGATATCAAGGAAGTGACTGTAGTATTCCTATTGACCCGTGTTTAAGCAGTCCATGTGTCGCATCTGGTTCAGTATCATGTCAATTAGTATACAATGGTACGAGTTACGCTTACAGTTGTACATGCCAACCAGGCCATACAGGTAAATTTCCATAATGTTGCCGGTTCTTCGAAAATACTTCCTTTGTTTCATCAAGGATCACGTTGTGAAACTGTCCTAAGTCCGTGTGATAGTGGACCATGCTCATTTGGTACATGTGTGGCATCAGTGAATATGTGGACATGTGCATGTGAACCGGGTTGGACTGGTTTGCAATGTAAAGACGGTATCAATGAGTGTGCATCAAATCCATGTTTAAATGCGGGTGTATGCATTGACGGTATTAACCAGTATCGTTGTATCTGTTTAACTGGTTATACGGGTACAAATTGTGAAGTGTCCTTGAACGGATGTTCAAGCGTGCCCTGCCAAAATAATGGTAAATATCAATTTGAAAGTGTCATATTAGTTATACATAGTTTGTTTTTCGAAAAGGTACATGCGTGAATAACGTGGTCTCTTTGGGATGTATATGTCCTCCCGGTTGGACGGGAACATACTGTGACATAGATATAAATGAATGTCTTACCGCTTCTATTTGCGGCCCAAATGCAACGTGTATAAATACCATTGGTTCATACAGATGTATTTGTCCAACGTGGTTAACTGGCGCTAATTGTTATACACAGATTGATTTGTGTTCGAGTAATCCATGTCGAAATAATGGTGTTTGTGTTTATAACTATGGTGGAAGTCTGGTATGCCGTTGTCAAGTTGGCTTTACCGGTATATTCTGTGAGGTAAATACGAATTCGTAGAACATAACAGAAAAGAAAAAGTACGAAATCTTTAAATATTTTCATAGATCAACATCGATGATTGTCAGTCGGCCCCCTGTCTGAATAATGGAACATGTGTGGATCAAATCAATAGTTTCATCTGTATCTGTCCATCAGGTTATACTGGTATGCGATGTGAATCCGTCATTAGTCAATGCCTTAGTTTACCCTGTTTAAACGGTGGCACGTGTCGCGATTCATACACAACAAGTGGCGTAGGTTATCTTTGTATTTGTCCATCATTGTATACGGGTTTACGTTGTGAACAAACTCTCAGTCCATGTTCAAGTTATCCCTGTGTTTATGGAACTTGTACTACGAGTGTTGCCACAGGTTCAACTTATTTGTGTGTATGTATGAATGGTTATACAGGGCTAAGATGCGACACCCCAATGAATCAATGCTCGCCGTCACCATGTGGTCCGAATAGCACTTGTATCAGTTTAGGATCGAATTATACATGTTGCTGTGGCACAGGTTATACAGGTACTCAGTGTATGCAAATGATGGACTTATGCTCCACGAATCCATGTTCAACTACCGGCGCTCAACAGTGTGTGCAAACAACAGCTGGATTATTTACATGCTTGTGTAAATCAGGTTATACAGGTCGTTATTGCGAAGTTAATATCAATGAATGTGCGTCGCAACCAGTAAGTTATTCTTTGTAAGCCGAATAACTAAGAGAATCGAATCTACATTTAGTGCATCAATGGTGGAACATGTGTGGACTTAGTCAATGGATATCAGTGTGTATGTCCAGCTGTTTACAGTGGAAATAACTGTGGACGTGTAATGGATCAATGTACAGGCTTCGAGTGTTTAAATGGTGGTAAATGTATACGAAATGGAACAACATTAACGTGTCTATGTGCACAAGGATATCAAGGAGTTAATTGTGAATTGATTGTTGACTATTGTCAATCACAACCGGTAGAAGGTTGAATATTTACGTTGAAAACATACTCAATTGTTTTTCTTTAGTGTCAAAACGGAGGTTTCTGTTCGAATACTAATCTTGGTTTTCAGTGTTCCTGCTTGACTGGTATTACTGGTCAATTCTGTGAAACAATCATCAATCAATGTCAATCACAACCATGTCGAAATAATGGAACATGTAAATCACTAGTTAATCAATATGTTTGCCAGTGTCCAAGTGGTTTGATGGGTAAAGATAACTTCTTCCTTTGTTGCTTATTGTGAAATTTTATTATATTCTTGTCTCACTCTATCTCGTCTAGGTACTCAATGCGAAACGGAACGTAATGAATGTGAACCAGTCAATCCATGTCTCAACTCTGGACGATGTATCGATCATTTCAATAATTTCTCCTGCGTTTGCGCTCCGGGTAAGATTCAATTCAATATCTTTATCATTCCTTTCTGGACAAAAAGAGACAATAATAATTCTCTAGGTTTTACTGGTTACTATTGTGAAACTCAAATTGATTATTGTCAATCAAATCCTTGCTTCAACGGTGGTTTATGTCGAACTCTAATCAATGGATACAAATGCGATTGTCCACAGGGTTACAACGTAAGAGTGAACACGATATTTTCTAGAAACTTTCTGATCTTGCAATGAATTTGACAGGGAACAACATGTTCAACAGCGATCAATTATTGTCTAAGTAATCCATGTTCAAACAATGGTTTATGCATATCACTTGTTAATGGCTATCGTTGCGCTTGTCTTGACGATTACATTGGTTTACGATGTGAAAATAAATCCAATGAATGTTCATCGAATCCGTGTCTAAATAATGGAACATGTATTGATGGAATTTGGAATTATAAATGCCAGTGTATACCTGGTTATACCGGATCGAATTGTCATTTATTGATGGACTATTGCTCGAGTTCGCCATGTATCAATGGTTTTTGTCAAAATCGATTGAATGGTTATGATTGCATATGTTCATCATCGTCTTATACAGGTGTTCATTGCGAAATTCAAATTAATAAATGTGCTTCCAATCCTTGTCATTCGAATGCTACTTGTATTGATGGACTGGAGCGTTATATTTGTTTATGTCCGCCATGGTTTTCAGGAGTGACTTGCTCTGAACAAATCAATCCATGTTCAAGTTCAACAGCATGTGCCAATAATGCCACTTGTTTAGTTAATTATGACGTTAAACCTCAAGGTTATACATGTGGATGTTTACCAGGTTATACAGGTTCCATGTGTGAAATTGATATCGATGATTGTGTGACACAACCGTGTAGACGTGGACGATGTGTTGATCGAGTCAATGGATTTATTTGTACTTGTTATTCAGGAAGTGAAGGAGTATTGTGTGATGTAAGTTGAATTGTTTTGGTTTCAATGAAAAGCATATTTCTTTTTTGATAGAATGATGTCAACTTTTGTCTAAGCTTACCATGTCAAAATAACGGTTCATGTTTGTCGTTAACCAATGCTTACCAATGTATATGTACAAGTGGCTTTCAAGGAACGAATTGCGAACAAAATATTGCTCAGCCTTGTTCAAGTAGTCCTTGCTTGTAAGTTTCGTTCGGATAGAATCGAGCTAGGCCTGATTTTTCCTTGCTTTCGATTAGAAACAATGGTACATGCACTATTGTGACCAGTGCTGGTTTTCAATGTTCCTGTCCATATGGTTATACAGGTCCTCGCTGTGAATTGACTATCAATGCTTGTGCATCAAATCCATGTCGATTTGGTACATGTCGACAAGTTGCTCCGGGCTATTATTATTGTTTTTGCACTCCTGGCTACACAGGCTTCAATTGTCAAACAGATATCAATGAATGTGCAAGTTCGCCTTGCTTAAACAATGGTACATGTATGGATATGATCAATGCATTTACTTGTACTTGTCCCAATGGATATACAGGAATTCAATGTCAAGATGGCGGTTATCAGTGCAGTTCAGGTCCGTGTCTTAATAATGGCACGTGTGCTATTACGAGTACTGGTTATCGATGCACATGTATAGCCGGTCTCACAGGCAATCGTTGTGAAATTGATATTAATGAATGTGCATCAGCACCATGTCAGAATGCTGGTATTTGTCTACAGCCGACATTAAATCGCTATCAATGTCTTTGTCCCACTGGTAGGTGCATGTACAAGCTTGTTTTCGTTTTATATCCATTTATTCGAAGGATATTCCGGTACCAACTGTGAGTCAATGCTCGATCCGTGCTTGTCCGTCACTTGTTTCAATAACGGCACATGTACTCGAACAAGTTCATCAACAGGTATCTGTGTATGCTCATCCGGCTACACAGGTACTGCATGTCAAAATACCATCAGCTTCTGTTCGACTTCGCCGTGTGTGAATGGCACATGTATCTCATCAAGCAATTCCTATCAATGTTATTGTTTTCCCGGTTATACTGGTCAACGTTGCGATTCACCTATCAATCCATGTACATCAAGTCCTTGTTTGAATAACGCTACATGTATCAATCAAATTAGTTCATACGCATGTCAATGTCCTTACGGATTTCAAGGAACAACATGTGCCGTACGTGTGCAAGCATGTCAATCATCTCCTTGTTTAAATGGTGGAACATGCAATGATATTGGTCCTGGCTTATTAAATTGTTCGTGTCTATCGTCTTATCGGGGCGTATTTTGTCAATTGAGAGATCAATTCTGCTCACAAACACCTTGTCAAAACAATGGTGTTTGTATTGAAGCCTTAAATGGTTATCAATGTGTTTGTCAACAAGGTTACACAGGTGTCAATTGTTCGACTATTATTCAACCGTGTTTATCAAGTCCATGTTTAAATAATGGCACGTGTGCAGCAATACTGAATGGTCTTAGTTATCAATGTTCATGTCCGCTTGGCTACGGTGGTCTTCGTTGTGAATCAAATACCAACTGGTGTTCGTCGAATCCATGTTTGAATCAAGGAACTTGTATTTCACAAACAACATCATTTACTTGCAACTGTCTATCAATCTACACAGGCATTATTTGTCAAACACTGATTAGTAATTGCTCATCATTAACTTGTGGCAACGGTGTACCTATTGTATCGAGTCCAACGAATTGTACATGTCAATGTTCCAGCGGTTACACAGGATATCTTTGTCAAACACCTATCAATCTGTGTTCGACAACGATAGGAAATAGTTCATATTGTGTTCGTGGTACATGTAACTATCTTGGTGCTGGCTTAGCTAATTGTACATGTCCGAACGGCTACAGTGGGCTTCGTTGTGATACACGTATATCTAATGGTGCTTGCGGATCATGCCCTTGTCTATACGGACAGTGTCGAACAAATGATACAACCAATAGTTATACATGTGATTGTTATCAAGGCTATACTGGCATACGTTGTGACACGCCAATTAATCCATGCTCCCCGTCGCCTTGCATTTATGGTCAGTGTATATTAGATGGTACTACTGGGTACCGTTGTATATGTCTTACTGGTGCCACTGGTCCGAATTGTACTTTGATCAATAATGTATGTTCATCTCAACCATGTAAAAATCTTGGCACATGTGTCGCACAAGGTAATTCATCATATATATGTGTATGTCCAACTGGATTTAATGGCACTAACTGCGAAACTGGCGTTAGTGTATGTTTAAGTAAACCCTGTCTGAACGGAGGAACATGTCTCGAACCAACGTCAAACTATTATATCTGCCAATGCCCATGGCCATTCTATGGCGTTAATTGTCAGCTAGCGTGCGATCCTTGTGTGAGTTATCCATGTCGTGGACCATTATCACAATGCATATCATCACCGATCTATTTCAACTATACGTGTGTTTGTGCCGCTGGTTACAATGGTACAACGTGCGCTACAGTCTATGATCCTTGTCAATCGTGTCCATGTCGGAATGGTGGATCTTGTGTGCGAACAGGTCCAACAACATACACATGTGCTTGTCCTGCAGGATACAATGGCAGCTATTGTGAAACACAACTCAATCCGTGTTCTTGCTATCCATGTGCTATTGGTACATCATTAGTAACATCACCAATCACATGCCAATGTCAATGTCCGTATCCATATACAGGTGCTCTATGTCAAATAAATGTCTGTCAAAATAATCCATGTCTAATTGGTACTTGTATTGCGAGTGGAAATTATTCCTATACATGTACGTGTCCAGCTGGATTTCAATACATCATGGGAGTGTATGTATTTGAAGAATATATTGAACTATAGTATCAGGATAATTTTGTATTTAGATGTGCGGATATTAATGAATGTACAACGATACCAGGCATTTGTGCTAACGGTGGACGATGTATAAACTCATATGGATCATATCTGTGTTTTTGCAATTCGGGTTTCTACGGAAACAATTGTGAAACATATGATCCGTGCCGATCCTTTCCTTGTATCAATAATGGTACTTGTGTATCTATTGGAAGCTATCCATTTTGGCAATGCATCTGTCCAACATTATACACTGGTATGAATGAAGCAATTTATACAAATATTTTCAATTTATTATTAACTATTTAGGTTCTCGTTGTGAAAGCATATCACTTGGATGTTCGTCCAATCCTTGTCGAACTGGTACTTGTGTAAGTCTTGCTAATGGTGGCTATCAATGCATATGTCCATCACTATTAACTGGAACGAATTGCGACATCCCAACATTACCTTGTGCTTCAAATCCATGTTTGAATAATGCCACTTGTTTAACATTATCTTTAGTCAATTATACTTGCATATGTCCACCAATGTACACTGGTTTAACATGTTCGCAACAAATACTTATTTGTCCCACGAATCCTTGTCAAGGAAACTCCACTTGCATTATGAATGCAATCACAGGTCAACAAATTTGTCAATGTGCACCCGGAAGATACGGCGTTTAGTATGTTTGACGTGATACTCTAGATATCTTCAAGAACTATTTCATTTTTAGTTGCGAAATCATTTCACCATGTGGTTCCAGTCCATGCATCCGAGGAACATGTCGTAATCTAAATTCAACGACATATCAGTGTGTCTGTGAACTTGGTTATACAGGTAAATAATAGTTCCTTGATTCGATCAATCATGCATTGTTCGTTTAATTAGGCGTATCGTGCGAAATACCCTACGACGTTTGTACGTCGGGTCCATGTAAGTCAATCGAATGAATTTAGTCTTATGTATCGAAGAAAATACATCTAGGTCAAAATGGTGGCACTTGTCTCAACTTAGGCAGTGGATTGTATAGGTGTACATGTCCAGTTGCATTTACTGGTAATGAACTAATTTATAAAAAAAGAATCTCCTTAAAAGGGAAATATTTTGTAGGTACGAATTGCAATATTCCAGTTTGCATGAGTGATAGTTGTTTTAACGGGGGCACATGTATGGTTCAAAATAGTACGTTGTTACGTTGTCAATGTCCATGTGGATTCACCGGTAAGTAAACTCTTTTTCTCTTATCTAACACCAAAGTTTATTTATTCGAAAAAATATCAATAGGATCTCGATGTGAAACACCATTTGATATATGCACATTAACATCGTGTCAAAACAATGGCACACGTATTCTCAATGCCACTGGATGCCAATGTACATGTTTATGTCCAGTAACATTCACAGGAAGTGTTTGTCAAACACCAACTACACCAGTGAACACAACCTATCCAGGTCAAATTATTATTCCAATTGATCGACCAGGAGGTATTTCATTTATAGACTTCTGATAAGCGGATCATCACGAATCTATATTTAGGCTCAACATGGGAAATTATTGCACAATGTGTCGATCAAGTTTGGAACAGTTTAAATGTCATACTCGGTATGTAGATCATAAATTCTATTCATCTACTGATAGACTACTTGGTTTTCTAGCATGTAATACTCCGTTTACATTGCTCAGTCCGACAACATTCTATCCATACTGTTATCAAATTAATCAACAAGCATCACTTGTGAGTCAAATGAATGCTATTCAAGATTGTAGTGATAAATCTTCTCAACTCGTTTGGTTCCAATCAAATGATGAACTTCAACAACAACTAATTCCAGCACTATTTGCTCGTGGTTTAGCTCGAGGTATGTTTTCTTTTTAGTTCTACTCACGAATGCATAGTTGCCATTTAGATTTTTGGACAAGCGGAATTTTTAATCCAACATTGAATCGATGGCAATGGTTATTAGCAAATAATAATACTCGTATCGATATCGATTCATCAATTCTCACACAATTCGGAATAACTTCATCAAGTACACACGTTTAGATACAGTGAACAATTTCATTTATTTCTTCGTTTTTCATGTAGTGGGTCAATCAATATATTATACATTTGCACAATTAACAAATCGACGATTAACGACAGGTTCATCCTCCCAAACATACTCGACACTTTGTAAAATATCCGCAACACGCATTCCACTTGATAATCAAACTCGAGCTCTTCTCCTTGCATCTCAACAATATGGATACATTAATCAGTATGGATTTTTCTCTTCTACGTTTCATCATTCGTTTCTGTTCTTTAGAACTCAAGTGATTATCTTTAATTTCAACTATACAATTTTTTCAACAATTCCATCGAATGTTGTTATTCAACAGCCAACTGCAGCACAATATGCAGCAATGTGTGGTGCAATCGGTAATCCAACAGCATCAGTTGATCCATATGTTATCGATATATGTGGCTATTTTCCATCGATAACCGATGGAAATGTTCAATTATTAATGCAAACAATTTCTTCGTACTACACATCACATCGAATGACAATTCTCTCGACACGTAAGTCTACTTGTAAAATTTCTATATTTCTTATTGTTGTCCTTCTGGTAGAGAGTTACGTGGCAGTTCCATTGAAAGTTGAACATTATACGACAATATCCGGTGATTTGATGACTCGAATACGATTCATCATTACAAGTGGCTCATCAATTGTTCTGGGTTCAAATGTTGAACCGTTAGCATCGATTACTGATATACTTAGTACTGTCAGTTATCGAATCTATCAACAATGTACACCATTTATATCGTTAAATATTCTTTTACCACTGAAACTATGTATTCCATTGAATGAAATTTCACTATGGACAAACGTCGTTGCTAATGCAGTTTCAGCAGCGACTGGTAGGAACTTGGTTTTTCTAAATAAACGAAAAACGAAACATTTTTTTAGGACAATCGAGTGTTACTGTTATGTTAAAAGGTGTTCAACCTGGTGTAACATCAACAGGGTAATGTTGAGTTAAATCTCATTCTAAAACAATTTCTATTTTTTTTAACATTGATAGACAACCTGCAAATACTGCATATTTTCTGATCACGATCAATGGAATGACCTACAATCAAACTTCAACTACTAATTTAACATTGAATCCAATATTACTTTCCACAATTGCACAAGCAAATAGTCAACTATTGTGCTCAAATCAGACACAAATACTTCCATTTCAAAACAGTATCCAAGATTTTTATGTTTCATGTCCAATACCACAAATGTAAGTGAAAAACAGAATCTTATTTTAGTGTGTGAAAAGCACGATTTCATTAGACTTCAACGACAACTAAACAATGCCTTACAACAAGCTGGAATTTACACAATTAACATGACGATCTTCGGTGTTGAAGAAGCAGTCGATACTACGAAGTATGAAGAATATTTTCCATGATTTTCATATCTATTTTCTTCTAGTCGTATCTATCGTCTACCAAATATCTATATTCAACATCAGAATGGCACATGGTTTGATGCTCCATTACAATTGAATAGTCAACTATATCAAATTTTGATCTCTGTGCAATTACAACGTCTGTTAACTCGAGTCTATCGTCTATCCAAAGCTTATTCATATTTCTTTTCCAACTCTTTAACGATAAACGAACGAGATTATCTACAACGATTAATTTTAGCAACATATAATCAACAAAGTAATTCAAATTTTACTCGTCAATTCTTATCTTCTCACTTTCTTCTAATAAAAAGGTACAATCGTTGGTAATACTGCTAAAGTTCTACTTGAGGATCCGTATTTAAACGCCAGTTCACTTAAAACCATTCAACGAGTTTATACATTTGTGTTCTTTAACGATCAAGAACTTGACGGAAGATATTTATCAAGTTTAAGTTTATCTCCTGGACAATTCACGAGTACATTTTATTCTCAAACTCCATTGACATTTATCTCAAATGCCCTTCCGATTAATGTTGTTAAACAACGTGATGTGCAACAAATAACTTTCACGGGAAAAATTAGTCGAACATTAGCGCAAACAAGTTTGGCAGATTATTGGCAAAATCCAATTCGACAAGGTTTAGTCAATTCCAACGTTTATATTCTTCAACTACAACAAAACTTCGTCTATTCAGCAAAGTAAAACTCAATGAACTTTCGGTTTATCTTCATGTACTATTTTGTCTTTAGTCAATTTTATACAACAATAACGTATGTCGTTGTCACATCCGATGGCTATACAGTTCCAAGTGCATGTTTCAATCCGAATTTCATTCAACCATTAAATGGTTTATGCGATTCGCCGAATAATTACGTTTCACAAATTCCTTTTAGTTACACCGCATCATTTATTGATCTCCGAGGAAACTATCTTCAAGCTGATCTAACTCAAGATAATTTTGCATCATTAATCACTTCAGCATTGCAGAGAACAGGAATTAGTAGTACAGTTTCGTCAATCTTAGTCGAACTACGATTCGGTTTCGATATGTCACTGGTCACACGAGTTTATTATATGGTTGTACCAAGTCAAGTTGTTGCACAAGACCAAATCCAAGTTCAATTAAAAGTATATTGTTTCCTAAATTGAGTTTTATTTTCATTTTTTTTTATTTCTTCTAGTCAATCTTTTCAACCATGCAACCAATCAAATATGATCTATATCCAAGTGAACAGTCGTCAATTGCTCGTAGTGATGCTTTTCAATATATAACAAATGTCACTTTACCACTGTCAGCTGCTATTCGTCAAGATGTTGAAAATTATCTCACATCATTCAATCGACGTAAGAAAATACTGTCAATCATTTCAATATTAACTTTTATGATATTTGTAGAGTATGGTGTGGCAAAAATAGTCTATGCAGAAACGATCATTGCGAATCAAACTCGATTTTATCTTGTGGTACTGAGAAAAGGAGTTTTATTGTTGGAATTCTCATGAACTTTGTTTTAGTTTCTCAATAATACACAAATACTCACTCGATGTGATTTTACTTTGTATTATCCAGGAGTAACAAATCTAAATAATGGAACTGGTGGTCTTTATAGTATTTATCTCGAACGAAATGTTTTTGTTGCACAACCGATCGCCTTAGCTGATGGTCTTGTACAAATTTGGATGAACCAAAACATCGGTATACAGCCAGGAACATTAATGATTCAATTACAAAATCAATATGAATATGTTTGTTCGGGAGGGTATGATTCTTCGAGATAAATGCTTTTGTCTATGTCACTTGTCTTTTTCTAGAAAGAAATCATTTCGAATTGATTATATTGTTCAAAGTCTTTCTACGAATGTTAATGTGAATAATTTAATTCCGCCACCGAATTCAGCGTTTGACCAACTTTACGGCAAGTTTGTAAACGTAAGTTCAATGTTCTTCGTTCTTTCGAGAAAAAAACACTTAAGGAATATATTCAATTTAGACAAGTCACTGTGTATCGAATCGAGCGTATTGGATATATTTAATGGAACCACGACCATCAAATGATGTTATACGTACTGCTTTAGAGAACGCATGGCGGCAATCGAATAGTAAATCGAACTTTTTCGATTGAAATTTTGTAATTTATTTCAATTATTTAGATAACTTCTTTATTAATGTTCCACCACAAATGTATTTCGATTCGACTTATTTAACTAATAATAATCAATCATTAACACGTGTTACTTACACGATCAATCTCAATGGTTCCGATGTATCATCATTAACTGTTACGCAACCAGCAATGAATTTATTTAGTTTATCGAATTTATATACAAATATTCCTTACAAGCAGTTTTCGATTTATATCGATGGTAATAAAGTGAATTTAACCAGTTCAACAACACTGGCAATGATCAATCAAGCACTAAGAACAAGTTGGTCATTAGCTAATAGTTATCTTTTTTCATCAAACGATGTTTCCATTCCATCAATAACTTCGAATATGTTGAAGTAAATATGAGATTGAAGTCTTGTGAAGTTTCCTTTACATTTGTATTTAGTAATGGACAAACTAAAGTAGATTATATGATTGGCTTGCGTTCAGGTGATATTGGTGATTATTCTCAACCATCTGAAAGACTCTATACACAAATATTTAATCAAACGGGCTTACAAACACTAGTTTACACACGTTATATACCAACAAAAGATAATAGTCAACTGATTTTCACAAATAACGAATCAACAAACGTTCCATTTTATCGTCGTACTGGTCTATTTTTTGGAGTAATGAAAAAGAATTTCTTTACATCGAATTTATATTTTTTATTTTCTAGCTTGATTGGTGGATTATCTTAATTCTTGTTGTGAGCATCTTGACAGTTTGGTTAATTATCTGTCTGATATGTTATGCTTGTTGCCGAAGACGGTAAGTTTCATTTCTCTCTCTCTCTTGTAATCGAATTGCTTTCGAATTAACGCTTCTGCTTATGCTTATATCTAACAATAGATTTAGAGAGATATCTTATCGACCAAATCGTCGACGAACAATGCGTCGTATTGATATTCTTAGTCGTGAACAAAATTATTTTCCATCAACATCAACTTTAAATGACCACCAAATAGTTCCTCCACCCGAATTACAAGTTCGCCGTCTATCACAGCAAGAATGGAGATATTTAAATGCTTCTTCTGCACATTCAGCTTTACCTGTTGTGACTTCATTAACTTCTTCGCTTGAATCGAATCCTTATGAATTATGAGAATAAGATTTTCATTTGCTTCTATTCTTAGTGCGCAAAATTCTTCGTCCGTAGTTGTTCAAGATATTCATCAACTAGGAAAATCTGAACCTATGTACGCCATGAGCGCCGCTCCGTATACATTATCCAAACGCTCCATATCAGTTATTGATTTGAACGATCAACCATCCACAATAGAATTTCGTCGACCACGACGTGCAACAAGATCAGTCTCACCTTCTAATAGTTTTCGATACATTCTACCTTTCAACTCTCATCGAGAACAAAAACAACGTAACTACGAACCAACTTCGTTGGGAAATCGACAAGATGTGCCCATAACTGTAACGAAGAGTCCAATGTATAGTGAAGATTACTTTTAACTATTTTATTAAACAGAACAGTATTTTGTTTTTGTTTTCTTTGATTACTGTTGAACATCAGAAATGAAATTGCAAATCTCTTCGAATAAATGTTCTCCTACTTGTGAAAAGTAAGAATTGATTTATTATGATCATAACATGAGAACAGATGAATGTACACGAAAATAATATGTTCATATAGCAACAAGGTCAAAGACGTTCATGTTTAATATTGTTTGAAGTTGCTGAAGTTTCTCGGGTGTTTTGTTTGCTATTCAGACGTTTTTCCTTTCGTATATCTTGTATGACCGGCCATAAACAAAACCCCTACAGAAGTTATAAAAATTTCTCAAAATGTCTTTTCATTGTATAGACGCTTACTAATAAAATAAGTGTGCAAACAGTAATGACAACCGAGAGAACAACGATACCAGTGATAACAACGGGAATGGTCATTGCTTGACAATAATATTTTACTTTTTGAGGAGAATTTTAAAGGTAATAGAAAAAAATAAACATTTAGCTAACCTGACGTCGTCTTGAATTTTCTTTTTTTCTCTACAAAATTGCAAATATTTGATCGTTCTGCGACGTGCTTTTCTCGCTCACTTAACGGGTTAGTAATATAGGTGAGTATGTTTTTTCACGGTTGAAGATATATTCGATACGCACGCTTAAAAGAAAAGAAAAACGCCAGACAGAACAGAACGTGTAGCTCACTAGCAACTTTTTTGTTCTACACACGCCTCTCAATTTGTTTGCTGTCATTGTGAATAAATATATATAAAAAAAATCTTACTTAACAACGACTGTATTGAATGTTTGGCAAGAGAACATTGAAGTAATCACCCCTATGTTATATTAACATAAATCGACAGGATATAAATACTGTGATAAGGAAGGAGGAGTTACCATTGAAAACAGACTCAATCAAATAACATCGTATGGTAATGGGTATTATATTGTTCTACGAGAGTTCGACTTGAGATGACGATCACAATCAAATATCATCAGTTTTTTTACAAACATTCATTTCGCATGGGTATAACAATATCCGAGAATATTTGTTATTTTCTTGTTTATTCAATTTCTCTGATTATTTCATCGCAAACAGATCATTAATAACACACTGTTTTATTAGATCCAGAAAAGGAAATAAAAACAGGATTGTCAGAACTAATCCATCGATCGTTAGTTTGTGCACGATCTATCGTACTAAGATAGATACAACTTGGTTTCCAAGCTACAAGAAAATACACCCAAAAGTTACTAGTGCTGACAACAAAGAATATTATCAAACTCACAAGAACCACTCCACTTTCCATCATTAATAAGTTCAATACCACGAATAACATTCTCTGTTTCATCAAACTTCACATTTGTATAGATCATACATACGTCGATTTGATTTCGTTCGAATGCATTCATTGTTGGTCCAAGGCTTTTCAGTGCATGACGAGTTAGATTTCTTTTTGTTCCAACAACACTCACATAGATATTTGAATCTGTACCAGCATATCGTTCATTTGCCGTGTGGATCTCGAAGAATAAATAGCCTCTATATGGTACCGATGTTTGATTCTCACTACTATTGAAATCATCTGCACGAGATATCGAAAGATAACTGACAACCCATATGAAAGCAGTCAAACGAAAAGTAACATGCATCGTGTTGCGTGAAGATGTATACGAAGAAAAAAGAATCGCCTATGCTTTATATAAGTTACAGAGAAAACTTTATCGCATAAGACGTGATTGAAAGTTTCTTTGTCTCTTATTGATTATCATCGGTCAGTGCCATATTTCACTAGACATCATTCTTTATCATATGATAGATGAGCATCACTTTTTCTACAGTTACTGCTTTAGAAATAAAGTGATGAAGACTTTATTGCGCTGATTAACTCCTTTTTAGAAGTTTGTTTTTTGCATGTTTTGCCCGTGTGTGACATCTCCACACAGTCTACATCGACATTTTGTTGAATAAAGTCAAGAACTAAAGCATATGTTGACAGAAACACTACAGGACACGGTAAACCAGGTACTATGGACTCGTCCCAACGCTTTCTAAACCAATATGTGAGCCAAAGGTCAAGTTGAATAGTAACAACGAGACCAAAAAATACACATAGCTTCATGATCATTGATGATGCTCGTGGAAATATCCATAGAAGAAATAAATTGTATGTGACGAAGTCACCACCATCTGAAACTGCATAACTCTTCATTGAACCTATTTCATCTTCAATGTCGAGATTGAAATAGAAAAGGTAGCGAAATATGTCGAGGCAGATTGACATCTCTTGCGGTATCGACCAGTATTGTGCAAACAATCGAAACTATATAGAAACACAAATGAATATCAACACCCTCACACCCACCCACACCCAAACATTAAGGAATCAACATCTGTAAAATTGTTACACATCTTTTACATCATACTTTTATTGATTTTTACGATAGTCTATGTTGTTTAGAATAGAGGATAATAAAATAAAGATATCGGATTTATTTATTAAAGAAATGCTTAAAAATATTGAAAAAAAAATGTTATGCATGTTCACAAGTATTTCAAAAAGGATTTGTATCAATATTTATGTATCCTCACACCAACAGTCTTCATTTTGTGCATTTTCGAAGGCTCCAGAAGCGTAATGTTTGACAGCATTACAGTATGTTCCTGCCCACATTTTGCAGAACTTGAATCTTATCTGATCTGTGCTCCAGTTAGTTTTGCAGGATGCCAATAAACCAGAACAAAATGTTTGATCACAATTTAATCGATTTGTATTGCATGTTCCATAACATCGATCATGTTCATCGCATATTGATGTGAATTTGTAATGCTCTCCAATCCAATGAATTGCCCAATAATTCCATTTTGTGTGATTTGTTCCGCATCCATCCATTGTTGGTGGAAGAACTTGCTTAGATGGTTTTTGTTTCATACCACAACCGCAAAGATTGGATTTACACACTAACTCAGTGTTTGGACACTCTATTGCGTAATTCCATGCTGTACTTGTATTACCCGCACAATTTGGTGTTACATCAACTACTAAGTTAGCGTCATCATCATCTAATCTTAACATCGCGATTCTCTCGCCGTTCGTACCGACGCAATCGCTTGTAAATAATAGTTTTCCTGTATAGTAAACATCGATTTTATCCCTAATAATAAAAGTTTCGTAGTGAAACTGAAGAGCTACGTGTCCTTTGCCGATACGAATTGTTTGTTTGTCAGGTTTGTTACCACCGGCTACTGTCATTTCGTTACACTTTCCCTTGGAGGTCGTAACTTTGCGAGAAATTTCTGTTAAATCATTCAGATCTATAGGGATATTACCAAGTGATATGACTGTTGGAAGTTCTCCTGGTATACGAACTATGATCTCAAAACGACTCATATTACCACTAGATGATTCCGATTGTGTTGGAATGTGACTAGCATATTTGGATGCTGTACGTAAAGCATCTGGAATTGTATTCTTCATCTCATTGGCGATATCATAGAGAGATGATCTAGTCGTTTTTGGTATTTTGGATAATATATCATCTATAGGATATACTTGTAATAATTCAATGAGAGAATCACTTTGCTGAGAAACGGTTTCATATACATTTTTCGTTTCGAAATATGGATCTTTTTCTTTGTTAACAGTAGGTAATAGAGCATAATATCGTCCAGCGCCTGTATTAATCATGGTTACACTTCTATTGCCGTATTGACTATCATGATAATTGAATTGTAAAATAGCATCATTGATCAAAATATCTGATACACTATCCTTTAATTCGATGATGAGACCAGTAAAAGGATTGGACATATTAGCGTCCATAGGATATTTAAACTCGATGTTTGGAAATTTTACAGTCGGAATTTTGTACGTAGATGGTATCTGATACGAATTATTCTCGGAAACAAACATAACGTAATACTCATTAATAGTATAGTTATAGTTAAATAAGAGAGTATATCCTTCAGTTTGTATCTGAGCGATTAAATCGTTGTCAAGCATATATATGGAGGCGTTTGTCTGGATAGCATGTACGGCTTGTATATTACCATTGAAATCTTTGACTCCAAACACACGTAAATTGTCGATATCTACCAGTTCCATGTCTTTTACATCAGAATAAATAGTACTTGTCGATAAATCTGGAATTGCAGAATTACGTTTTCGTAGTCCGATAACGAGACCCACTGTGATTGCCACACTAATTAAAACCACAACAAAAACAGCAATACATATAGTTAATGATCGTCCCATTTTCTATAAACGTACAAAGGGCAATTGTTTCTGCTAGACGATTTAGTCAATGAAGTCTCTTCAATCTTGAAAATTTACATTTCGTATTATATATAGTCATAGTGTAAAACATGATTTTCTGAGAAAAACGAAGTAGACTATGCTTTAGTCATCTTTAGTTTGAGTCATGAGATGTATACTTGGAAAGAAAATATGCGTGGTATTGTTAGTATCATATAGAGATAAGCACAATCTTGAATCCACATCTTATCTGCTTTTATGTAACCGAGTTGTATATATTGTTGTAAAGACTGAGGGTGTAGACAACATCTGATTCATCTTTTTCAAAAATTTATTGATGAAGAAATCATTTGACGAATACAAAGATGAATATGTGCTTATTTTTTCATCTACTTGATTTTAACTGTTTTTTTTCTGGAGTAGTTGGTGATAGAAAACTGACAAGTAATGTTTCATTTTGAAAAACGGTGTTTATGAAATTGATCATATTGTTTACGTAAATACTATCTTCACAATACTTCACAGAGCCGTAAAATACTGATCTAGAAATTAAACAAATTGTGGATTAATTGAACAATTATTATGTCAGTTTCAGTGTATACAAATAGATTGCTTGAAAACAGTCTTCTTGTTCGGATAAGCTAATTAAGAAGTGTTTTGAATGTTAAAAGTAGTTAAGAAGCCATGAAACTGTTTTCTATTAAACAAACACATTCAATAAAAGAAAGAGACATCGCATTTTATGTACCTATATTTTAATTATAATCATTAACCATAGATGAAAATCATGAAGAATATTTCAGAAGCACTGTACACAAGAGGCAAACGACAGATTCCCAGGATCTTTGGGAGTACGAAATCAGCGGTTTCCTCTATGTTAGAGTAAGTAATCAAATGAAACAAATGAAGTAGTAAATAGCATCTTTTACTTTCGTATTTCCCAATCATGAATTCAAGTGATTCTTACAAAGAAATAACTCCCGGAGTTTCGGGTAAATCCGAAAAACGATCTCTTCTTCATCGTCTCTTCGGAAACTCACACGTTACCTTCGAAAAAAAGAATCTATTCGCTGACAAAATGCATACATCTGTATTTTTTGATTTTGTTTGCATTCTTCCAGTACTCATATCCACAGTCTTATTTTATCGTGATGTTAACGGACAAAGGTTTTCAATGTCTATTCTAGTACTTGTCGACTTTCTCCTATACTTTGTGCACATAGAATTTAGCTACTAAGTTGCTTGACTTGAATTGTAACTCTGTTGGTCTGTTAGAACCATAGTTGTGGATTGGAATAAAAGTTATTTTGTTTGTGTATGTGAATAAAAAAGATTAGCTGATTAAATATGTTTTTGTTTCGAGACGAAAACGGGTATATTTCTTCCATCTGCAAATTTTGCCTCTATGAAATCAAAAGAAAGGAAAAACCATTCATTGGTCGTATCATTTTCTTCTCATCTACCCAAATATAAAAGTTATCCAATTAATCATTATAATAATGTCTACTGAAATCTTTGTCGATGGTATTTGTGAATTTGATGATAAGTCAATTCAGTCATATTTCTCACAGTTTGGTTCTCGCATAGTACATTATGAATGTCAACGTCAACGTCCAACCAACGCTTGTTGTTTTGCAGTGATAACGTTCGCGTCGCATCATACAGTTAATGCCATACTTCGTAAACGACCGCATTCGATCAATTCGTACCCGTTGTTTGTTAAACGATTACTTCCATTGACTATTTGTTCATTTTCCGAACGTCTTTTACCTGTGACAAGTTTGTTTGTTCAAAATCGGATTACAAAAGAACTTGAAGAAGGAAATTTGAAGAAATACTTTCAAACATTTGGCGAAATATTAAGATTTGAACGTGATTCAAAACAAAATCGATTGATCATTGAATTCAAAGATTATGACTCGGTCGATCGAATCTTTTTAAATAAAAGCCAATTACCACAGTTCGTTGAAGTACATAAAAACCTTTCACCACGTTTACAAAATCAAATACGGTACCACGGCACATGTCGTCCGAAAGAACAACAACCGAAATTCGATGACAAAGAAAAGAAACCACAGAAGGAAAACTACCAAGACTTATTACAAAAAACCATTGAAGAATTGGCGAAATGTAAAGCTCAATTGAGAAATACTGAAAGGGATTATCTGATCCTTCAGATGAGTACGATCTTTATCTTGTTACTAAACAGAAATCCATCAGTTTATTTCTGAACAGAATATACGACAATGAAAAAGAAATATGATCATATAAGTCAACGTTTAACTAATGAAAATGAATGTCATACGTGTGAAGAAGACCAACAAAGTCAAAATTCGATGTCATATCCTAAATATGTTTTATCAAAACGATTAAATAACAGTTCAATACACAAACATCAAGGTTTCTTTTTTGATAACCATTGTACACGTTGAAACTCATTTCGTCTTTCCAGTTTCAGAAAGTTCAACAACACAATCGAATATGTCAGATGATAGTGGTATACTTCGAACTTCTATCTCACGATTAAATATCGTTTTCTAAATAGTTTTCAAACAAGTTCAATCTCCTCCGATTATGATTCGACCATGTGAACAAAAATATCGATCCACGTATCGGTATGAACCCGTTCGAAATGATCAACAGTAAACTTTTTCTATCAGTTGTAACTGAATTATTTTGAATAAACCTATGTTTGTATAATTACTTATCAATCAGTTTTTATTAGGCAATCCCCCAAGAAAAGCGAAATATAAAACAATGCAGATCAAAGTTTTCTATGTTCTGTTTTGAAGGAAGTTCATCGTTTCTTCTGAGCTAATTTGATTAATGTACCACAATGAGGACATTCAAGTTGACTTGGTTCGTATGTAACAGGTACCGATGTTGCTTTCCATCCTTGTGTTGGTTGAATCGTTTCAGTTCGACGAACAACTTGTGGTCGTGATTGAGACTCTTGCATAAGAACACGATTTTTGCCTGGTCGACTACTCATACTTGCTAAAATGAATAGAAGCATGTACAAAATAGCTGTTGCTAACAAAGCTGCTGCCATTGCTAATTGTGCTTTGAGAATTTGAACTTTTCTTCCTAATGGTATACCTGATCGTCGATACCCTGACGATTCAATATCGGTACAGATAACATTCGAAAAGAAGCATCGTGTGATATTAGCAATGAACAAAGCATCCAGAACAATCAATGTGATTGCAGCTGCAGCACAAAGAATAGATATGAAGAAAACATAGGTTGACCATTTACGTGAACGATGACAACAAACTAGAACGAGAACATTTAAATGTTGTTTTAGTTTTTTATTCTTTGAAATACCTAAGATAAACATCGACACCCATGATATGGTGAAGAAAATTGATAACCAAAAGCCAGCATAAAGTGTACCTCGACTCGGTGAAATGACGACAGATGCGATCTCGAGACCAACAATAGCGACTGTTAAGATCATTTGTAAGAAGCCGATAATAATCGGTATGACCATCGAGAATTTTGAACGCCATTGGATTTCTTGATCAAATTCAGATGGATAGAGATATGTCGGTTGCATTCTCGTTGATTGAATTGTCAAATAAAGTATGATTTCACGATATCAAACTTCAATGAAAAATTCTCTTTTGTATTTGACTTTAAAATCAATATCTCAAATTTCTGCGTGAGCGTTTTAAAGTATGGATATTCGAGATGTTCTTTAATTTGATTCTTCCTTTCCATTACTTAACAACCAAACCAAACGATATGTACTCGACTAACTTTGATTGAATATCATTATCATTTTATCCATAACGAGCATATTTATCACGAGGTTGACAAAATGAATTTATTGTTGAAATATTCTCTAATGAATAGAAAAGAGCGTTGCACATGACTTTTCTATTTATCGGAAGTAGACTCAATGAAAACATGATCGTACCTTTTTTTCTGTGTGGGCAATGCATTGATGCGTTGCTTTTCTATCATTACATATATATGTACGCGTACGATTGCGTGATAAATTACCTTGAATCATTACGTTTGTTTGTTTGTTTGATTTCTTACGTTTCGATCGGTAGGTTTACTTTGAGCGAGTTCTTAGGAAAAACAATCATACAATTCTTAATGGGAAATATAGACTCTTTCTTTATTCTTCCTTCTACTCAAAGCAATTATGTGAAGACAAAAAAAGATCATCATCACCATGAATCAATTAGTTTCATTCCAGCAATATCTATTATTGATTGTTTTAAAATCATGGCCATTATTCTACTACTGGCTAGCAGTATTGTCCTATCAATTTTGAAACAAAAACCAACAATATCGAAAACTACGTTTATTCTAAATGATACATCAAAAGCATCGACTATGCAAAATAAACTTGACGATGATAATCCGTACGGATTTCATCCATTCTATCAAGCTCATAAACGTATACAGTTTCAAAATCCTCCAACATATAATCCATGCCGTAATATTGACCCAAGTAGAACGTTACTATTAGCTATTTTATCACGTGCTAGCAATGTACATATACGCGAAGCAATTCGACAGACATGGGGTGCAATGAAAGTTTACAATAATATCGAAATACGTGTTTCGTTTATTGTCGGTGTGGATGATGGAATGCTCAAACAAATTGCGATGGAACAATCGATCTATCACGATGTCATTCAAGTGAATTTACCTGAAAATTATCCTATTGTATCTTATAAAGAATTGGCTGCCTTATGCTGGAGTCGATATTTTTGTTCAAATATTCAATATATATTCAAAGCAGATGAAGATATTCATTTAAATATTCCCTTGTTAACAAGTCTTGTTTCGAATTATATGAAAAATGAAACTATAGCAGATACTCCATTGATCTTCGGTTGGTTTAGACACAAGTCTCGCGTCGATCGTTCTGGACGATATATAGTTACCCAAGAAGAATACCCAGGATTTTATTATCCACCATATACATTCGGTATTGGATATCTACTAACTAAATCTGGACGTGATAATCTATGTGTAAGTGCACAACGACCACATCCGGTAACACGTGTAGGTGACGCTTACATAACGGGCATCCTTCGTGATCACGCCGAAGTTAACTATGCACGTTTTGGTGATGTTCATTATATCTATTCTTACACACTCAATGGAGCTCGCTGTCAGGAATATTTCACATATGATCCCAAACTATTAATTTGTATGTCAAGTGTACATTCCGGTTCGAGTGATGTGGCTGATGAATATGTTCATGTTTGGAATATCATATTCAAAGATGATAATAACGCATTAGATGATCAAGAATAAATAGAAAACTGTTTTGTCCATAGTAAATCATCTAGTTCAAAAAATATTCCCATTGTATTATTATGTTTACTACAAAACAAACATTTCTACGTTCATCATAATATTTTCCTAAGTGCGAGATGTTAGTATTACTAGAAAATTGATATGTAAACTTTTTCGATCAGATAAACATGCCGATAATCTTTCTTCATACTCGTTTGTAATTTCATCAGCTTTTCCAAAAACATATTTTCGCTGATATTCGTTTCCTTCATGCGGATGGGAGGACTTTGAAGAATACCGAAACTGTTCATCGGTAAAACGAATGTTTATTTGAATTAATAAACAAACAAACAAACAAATGATTGAATGTTGTTATTCTTCTTCTTCCAAAACAAGTTTCGATCGTTCGGATACAAATGGTACTGAACCAGGTTTGCTATTAGCACGTGCGTTGGCTTCATGACGTTTTTGACTATCCTGGATGGTCTTGTGTTCACGTTTGGCATGATAAACATGTTTAGGTACATGACGTTGTCGTGCGATACGTTTGATTTTCGGGAAATGTGAGAATTTCTCTTTTAATGCTTCATTGTATTCAAGTGTTTCAGCTTCACGATTGCGTGTCTAAACAAAAGTATTAATTTACCAACTTGTTGGAACATAAACACATCAAATTAACTTACCACACCGAGTTTTTCACTTGCTTTCGCTTTCCACAACCGTAGACACATTTCATCCGAACCTGATATGACATATTTATTATCCGATGTCCATTGAACACAAGTAATATGTTGCATGCGTTTCGTGTGGTAAATATCTCTGGAAAAGAAATGTTTTTCCATGTGAAATTTCGAACTTTAATCAATACAAACCGGCTATGACCTTTATCCGAGGGAAATATTCGAATAGTTTTATCGTAGCTACCACTAACAAATTCTTTTCCTGTTGGAGAGTAATCAACGTCCGTGACAGCTGCAACGTGATCTTTATGAATATTGAATGGTCTTTGCAGATAACGAATATCAAAACTGTACAAACTGAAAAAGAAAAAGAATGAAGTATATCTCTACGAAGAGATCAACTCTAATTTACTTGTAATCTTCATTTGCGGTAGTGAATACAAATGCTTCGAGTGGATTCCAAGCAAGTGTGCTGGAATTCATTCGAAGTGTGATCTAAATTCATGTGTCAATTTCAAATTCGTTTTCCAGCATTCATTTCTCGTTACTTTTCGTAATGGTACAGATTGTCTCGTATCGTAGAGAATTATACTTCGATCGGCTGCACAACTAGCAAGAACGGTTGTCTAGAAAAAGAAATGTTCGATCAGTACGGATGTCTTCTTTCTAACTTACTTCAATTGGATTGAATTTAACTCTTACATGACTGTCAGCACCCCATTTAAATGTTTGAAGCGGTTGAGCACGTTGCTCGTCCCATAATGACACTGTTTCACCACTAGTGGCATACTGAGGATTCTTGTAATGATGATCAATCGATGTGAAGACATGCTAAAAGGAAAAATGAAATCATTCTCTTCATACACACTGACTCGCACATCGTACTTTTCCAACAATTGTCATCGCTGGAGTTTCATAGTTATTCATAGTCCATCGTTTGATTAATTTATCATTTCCAACTGAATAAAACGCTTCACCATCTGGTATCACACATATACCACGAACAAACCCATTGTGTGCTGGTATTGTTCCTTGACAAACTCGTTGAGCAACATTCCAAATCTTAATCTAAACACGACATTCATCACCTCAAAACAAGACTCGAATGACTATTTTTTTCGTACTTCTCCATCGCATGAACCGGATAGAAGTAAGGAGAGTTGAGTGGAATGCTTAGTTATACATTGTACACTATCGCGATGTCCATCTAAACCGCAAATGAATGGTCGAGCGAAGATTCTTTCCATTTTGACAGCATTCATTGCCCGAGTATATTCACGTGCAACTTCGAATGGATGAAGATCAGGATNCGATTTCCTAGTCATATGTCTGTGTGCAATAACATTAGCACCGGGAAAAGTCAACAGTTTATTCGAAGATCAAGTAGGCAAATTTGATTGGTAAGTAGATGCCGTTTCTTCCTCTCTCTCTCTCTCTCTCTCTCTCTCTCTCTCTCTGTTGCTTTCGTCCCTCTAGGAGGAAAACGTCTAGATAATATCTTTTTTTTGCAAGCCGAGAAGAGATCTTTAGAAGAGGAAAGGGATTAAATCTTCTTTTAATATATATAAAGAAGGATTGTTCATGAATCGATCTGCTTCGTTGTTTTCATAACAATGGAATGGAAGAAGAAAAGAAAAAGAATCGGAAGTAGATTAGAAGACAATTCGAGGCTTACAGATATTTGATGTCTTCGAACAGAATCGAAGTTGACGAAGAATAAGAAAAGTTCAACGAAGCAAAGCAAAGAGAATACAATGTCAATTACGATGGATTTACTGCAGTATTTTTCGATATCCGATCGAGCAGACTTCGTCTTCTTTTCCTCTTTTTCTTTTGTTAATAGCAAGAGAATTATTCATATTAATTTTTAATCTTAATATTACTAACTGTACTGATTAAAAACAATACAAAACTCTGTAGGGAATGCTATGTTTTCTTTAATCTTTTCGATGACGCTGATGAATTCCATACGAGAAAAATTCTCCTGGATGCAGCACGGATTGATTGTTTGTTAGTTTTTTTTTTCTATGGCATATCATTTCTTTCTGTTTTCTAGGCAACGTCAGCATATTGGTTTCATCGATGATTCTCATCAACCGTCCGGTAGTACTAATCGTATTATTGTTGCTAGTCGTGATAATGTTCTCGCATCACTCGATTTATCATCAAGACAAATGGGTAATTATCTAATCACTGTTCTCTCATTTTATTATTTGAAGCAAAGCTGAAAAATGAATCAACGATTAAGAAACAGTAGTTTACAAGAAAAATAGGAGAAGTGTTTTTTAGCCAACATAGGAACCGTTACCAAATGCACCATATGGATTCATTCCTCCGTATTGTGAACCGTACGGTTGTTGTGGCTGCATCATCATCACTGGTGAGCCAGCCAGTTGACGTTGTTGTTGCATCATGACCGGTGAACCAGCGAGTTGACGTTGTTGTTGCATCATTACTGGCGAACCAGTAACCCAACGTTGAGTATAAGTAACAGAGTTTTCTACCATGACAGGAGGAGGACTTGGTGGTGGTGAAGGAACAGGAATACCGACAGGAGCGTAGCAGGGATTGACACAAGGATTTTGCATGGGTTGAGGTGGGGGAGAAGCAACTGGTACAGGGACAGGCACTGGTCGATCGACAGGATAGGGAACAGGTACTGGTCTATCGACATGGACCGGTTGAGGAACAGGAACAGGTACCGGAACCGGTCGATCAACACAGATTGGTTGAGGTACGGCAACAGGGTAAGGTTGAGGAACAGGACGATCTACTGGAACAGGAACAGGAACTTGTTCTCGAATAATTCTTGGTGGTGGAGCAGGAACTAATTCAAGTTGTCGTCGTTCGGCAATGTAATAATCGGGAGCATAACCGACATTACCAGCTTGATTGCCGAATCCACCAGCAGCTGCTGCGTTACCATAACCTGCTTGATAGCCGTAATTTAGAGGAGCGCCAATACCAGTTCCATAGGGAGGTCTATTATAACGATCGACTGGATTTTGTCGATAATTACTGAAACTACTCTGTCCGGAAGGACTTGCTGCTAAATGGTCTCCTGAATGATTTCTTGCGCCACCGTACAAGAGATCGCGTTTTTTCGATACGTAGTTGTTTTTACTTGATTTCTTGTCTAATGGTCGATGAAATGCAGATCCAGAACCACCGAAACCTGATTTACTGTCGCGTCGTTCATAAGCAACGAAATCTTCTTCGGCATCAGTTGTTAAATGTCGCTCGATACGTTCACCGAATCGTGCTAACGCATCGGCTGTTTTGTTTACGAATTTGTCCATTAATGCGTCTCGTAACTTTTGATTTGTGCTTGTTTGTTATCAATGACGGCAATACCAAGTTATTTATATTATATCGAAGCGAGTGAATAACCGATAAATGAATGAGAAGAGCGTAGGCCTGAATAGAAGAGACAGACATTGATGCGTGACCAACTGATTCGCATTACTCATTTTCCAATGATGTCAATGGATATTATTTTTTAGGATGGCGAAAAGTTTTCGAAGCAAATGACTACGGTAAAATTGATAGAATTATCTGGTACGACCAAGAAGGCGTCATCGTCACTGGAAATGGTAGGAGAGTTCGTGCGTTAAGATACGCCGACGGGTTGGAAGTATGGCAATTAGCAGCAACGTCAGGAACGAATTCCAATGAAGAGACAATTTCCAAATCTTGTCAAGTGATCAAAAATCGATTCGATCCAGGTGAGTTTTTGTTGATGAATCATGATTTCTTTCGAGATAATACTTGTCATCCTTGTTGGATGAAGGTCAACTAGTGAACGCCCCTGAGTGCATAATATTCTTTTGTAACTATGGCATAATAAAAACAGATTGAGAACGTTTTAATGATGTCACAGTAATTAGGCGTGAAATGAAAATCTAATTCGAATAAATTATCAATTAATACAAAACGAAATGAGAACATGTCTAATGAAATATTTCAAATTAATTAAATATGAAAAGATGACAATCTCAATTTTGTTTTTTTTTTGTCTCCTTTACTCGGAAAATCTTTTCAACCATCATTAATGTATCATCATATGACACATGTCATGCCAATCTGAGCTTATTTCTATGTTCAGGTACTATTCATATTCTCAACGATGATCTCCTATGGAGTGTCTCATCCTATGGAGAGATGCTCTGGTCGATCGAACTACCTACAAAGTAAATGATAGTTGTTTTGTCTTCTTTTTTACAATGAAATCGAATTTTTCTTGAAGACCAACGCTGAAAAGTCTATTTCTTTTTTCAACATCTCAATATGTGATCGTCACCAGTTTGGATTCAAATTCGAATAAACTCCAAGTAACTTATTACTCAAAACAAAATGGTGCTCAAGCATTCTCTTCATCGATCCCATGGTCATTCAATGCCAAGGATAGTCAAAGGTATGTTTATACTTTGATCATTTATTCTTTTACCGCAATTTTCTTCTTGTTCGTCTAGTAAATGTTCAACAATGAATAATATCATTTTATGTGCCAATAATGCTGAACTTTCAATGATTACAATTCCAACGACAATTGATGACACAAATATCAACACTCGTCAAATCCAATTCTCCAATCCAATCGAACAAATTCGAGTTTTATACGAAAGCAACACACGAAGTATCGTCTCAATCAAAACTGACAATGCTGAAACTAAAGTTTACCAATTCAATAAGAAAGATTCAACCAATGAATGGAGTTACCATGAATTAAACATTCAAATCAAATCCAATGCATTCTATAGTGTCGTATCTGATAAAAATTCTGGTGGCCAACAAATTCTAGAAGGATCTGCCAGTCAACAAAAGCTTAATTTCTATCTTTCAACTATTAGTGAACAAACATTGACTAATACACGTTCATATTCGATCGAACTTCCCGAAAACATGGGTGATATCGAATATCTTTCATATTCCAATGTGAAACATACTCAATTTGTAACATTAAGAATGCAAGATGCTTCTTTACTCGTGATTAAATTAGCAGATAATGGAGGTATGGATTAAGGATACGAAGATAATACTCAATGTTGTTATTTTCCTTCAGTTAGAAAAGAGAATGTCGTGACACTGAAGTTCTTTCCTAATCAAGCAGATCAATGTAATCCTGACAAAGAAAGGTTTCTTTCTGAGAGAAAAATCGCATTCATAGTTAATTGAGATTTACGAACACATTTTAGTCGTGACTCATGATTGAATTATATCGCGTGTTTTCTCTTTAGCTGAATTGATTTTACATCGTGATGAAGCCTTATCTTCGATTATATCAGTCGAAGCATTCGATTTATCTCTATCGAGCGGACAAATGCGTATCGAAGACGAATTCGGTGGCACAGAAATGTTCAGCATGTTTGTTCGAAGAATATCTTCACAAATATCACAATTAACGGTAAGGGAAAACCCGAATATTGATGATGGAGACCTTCGATCGGATTTGTTTTAGAGTTTTGTTATGCGTTTGATGAATATGTTCACAAATGCACATGCAAATCGTGAATATATGGATAAACAAGCAGCACTTGTTCGAGATGAATTTAATTTAAATAAGATTCTTATTGTTGTTACGTCTGTCGGCAAGGTAAATTCAAACTTTCTTTTTTACTTATATGAAAAGAAAATAAACTTCGTTTGTTTAAATAGGTTTTCGGCATTTTAACACAAAGTGGCGGTATTCTTTGGAAACATTATTTTACAGATTTCGCACCATTCGAGCATTTTAACACACTACAAGTACCTTTATTTCATATCCGTTCGGCCGCTCACTATACTCACCCGCCATTAGCATCGATTGTCTATCGTGATCGAGTATGAACAGTCACTCTAAAAAATAAGCACGACAAAGATTTTTATCTTGATTTTCGTTTAGAATTCTTTGTATGAAACTCATGTGCGAACATTTAATCCATACACAGGCGATTTCGAAGAGAGTCTCAGTACGTCATCACTCCCACATCGTATTAAACGTGTTTTTCTATCAACGCAAATTGTTAATGATTTCTGCAAAGTCTTATTATTCGTTGATGCAAATAACAAAGTTTGTTTTCGCCAAAAATACTCTTCCGATGAGAGATTCAACGTTATCTTTAGATCCACACATATCCAACTGTGCCCTTATCACGAGCGTTGAGCACAACAACTCCCACATATATTTATCTATTTGATAAAGCCGAACAAGCATTTATTGGGTACTACTTAACAATTAATGAAAATGAGCAAGAAAGTGTAAGTGATCGAATTTAGTTGAGTGACAACAAACGCAAAATTGTTTGGATCGAATCTAGTTGAAAGAAAATGTTCGATGATGTACACATAAAGTTTGACGATTCAGAAACTTCTTGAAGATAAACCTTTATATTTGCACGTAAAACCGCCTGAGAACATTTTTGTTTTCTATTTAGTCAACAGGTTTGAAAGAAGNTGTTAAAGATATTGTTAAACATATTAAACGTTACTCGACATTATCGTTATCTTTAACCGATGTTAATAATATTCTTCATCATGCCAATTCCTCTCCAACAAGTTTATCGCCGACTGAAATCGAGAAATTGAAAAAGTTCACCTCAAGTATGTCAATGACAAATGTGGAAAATAATAAGCCATTACTTCCTTCAACATCAACCAATGGATCAGCCATACGAGCCATAAGTTCAATGGATGTTAAATAAATCTCTTCGATGTATTTTGTCATTTGATTTAATTATTCTATTTTCTCTCTGTATCTTTTCTTTTCTTTTTTTGTTTCTTCTCTCATTCGTTCAGTTTCTCTTCTTCTTGTGTATGCTTTGTTTCGTAGAATAGAAAGAAAACTCACCAAACAAAGAAATTGATTTTGAAGAAAAAAAGCAAAATATTTCGACAAGAATATTCAGTATTTAGGTGAAATTAGAAATCATTAGGACGAAATGTGTTTTCTTTTTCGTTTGTTTTTCATTTTTCGGTTAATTTTAAAAGAATGTCATCATTTTACATGTTGCGTTTTCTTTTTCTATTGCAATTGAAATTCTATTCAAATAAACAATAGGATATCGGTAATTAATCCAACTTAGCCAATTTTCTTTCTAGACAAATGTCTTCAGGCTGACAAGAATGCTTTCCTATCGGCATATTTTCTTGCTTTATTAATAATTCATGTCGTCTAGTTATTTGCCATTTATCTTATTCGAGAAAAAAAACTAACATCGATGAAAAGCATATTTACCGAATTTGTTGAACAACCTTGTTGAAAAGATTATATTAATAATGTTTATTCACAGTCTTGTGTTTTATTCAATCTTAAGATGTTTTTGGCCTTCCCAGTTGAATGACGCATCTTGTATCTATTTAGTTGGTGGATGAAACCTTGAGGACTTATACAGATGCAAAAGAAAGAAAAAAAATTACTGGTATTCAAGGTGAAATTTGAGTGTGAATGAGGATTTAATTTTCAATTTAGTTAAGAATCACCATATGAGAAAAGAAAAACGAGTAGGAGAATTGAAGTTATGTAATTTCTATTGAAATATCAAACTAAGACGAAGATTATTCTCTTGATCTTCAAACACAATTTCTCTTCTAAAACATTCATTAAATAATCACAGGATACTTTTTTTGGCCATGAGAAAATTTTTTTTTCTTCATAGATTTAACCTCTCAACACAATCAATCAGTAGATATTGACACGTAACATAAGAATCAAATTTGATTCATCATGCTGACAGATCTCTGACAGTTTCATTGTTCTGATTAAAAACTAATGAAGTTCATACGGAGTTCAATCTAATTGAAAATTTTCTACTTGAGTTAACATAATAAAAAGTAAATGAGACGTTATTTGTTTGTTCTAGAAAGGTTTTTATGAATCGTTTCATACGTCAAAAAAGAAATCTATTTGTCATTAAAGAAACATTACATATGTCAGCTTCTAATCAATCAAATCGTGCGGATTCATTCGGTACTAGTGAGAACGATCCGATCTATGAAGCAAGTGTTCAATCAATTCGAAGTTTATCTCCTACAATAAAACAATTTCATTTGAAAGTTAATGATCCATCGCAAACATTTCGTTTTCAACCGGGAATGTTTTTAGATTTCTATTTTCCTTCTTCAATAACATCGATTATCACAGGATTTTCTATTTGTAATTCACCATTAGATTATACGACAACAGGATTGATTGAATTAGCGATTAGAGAAACCGATTATCCTCCAACACAGTATATGTTTAATCACTGTCAAGTAAATGAACAAGTTTCGATAAAACCAGGAGGAGATTTTCATTATGATTCATCGATAACAGACCGTGATTCGATTCTATTGATCTGTGCTGGTATCGGAGCAAATCCGATTGTGTCAATACTTCGACATATTCGTGATTTATATGAAACGAAGAATTCGGAGCAAGTCCCATATCGAATCGAGTTTTTGTACACAGCACCAACACAACAGGATCTGGTGTTTCGTCAAAGTATCGATTTATCATGTCAACAGATGATCAAAGATAAGATTTTACGAACTAATTATTTTGTAACAAGGAATATTAATGATGATATTAAGATTAATAATCGACGTATTAATGCAACAGATTTGCAGCAAGCAATACAATGGTTAAAGAAACCTGTTACCACATATCTATGTGGACCATCATCATTCATTGATTGGACAGAAAAGACTTTGAAAGAACTTGATGTCAAAAGAATTTTCTATGAGAAATGGTGGTGAACTTCTTAACAAATAAAATCCCGTGCATTGCTTCTGCACGATTATCTTTCGTGTTAATTTAATAGTAACTCGGCTGGACATGTCAACTGGAATTACACTCACGTGTAATCAAACGGACATTTGTAACAATTTCTCTCTTACATAATGATAAGAGAATCTATACTGAGCAGAATAGGCAAAGAAAAGTTCTGATGAGTAGTAGTCGGTTCTATTCAGCACTTTACTTCCGTTTTTTTTCCTTTTTCTTTTCTTCGCACTGGGATAAATTATTTGAAAACTATCATCATTTTTTCTCTTTTTTCTTCTTCTTCTCGTTTTTAGACCTTTTTTTTCCTTCACTGAATCATGCACTCTTCTGTTTTATCATATCTTTAGACATTTATTCATACATGAAATTTCTGGTTCTTTTCTCTTCTTTCCTTCGTCTTCGATATGACTATCAAAAAAGAGAGAAAGAAGAGATCAACTAACCGGTCAACAGTATTAAGTAAATGTTCATCAGCGTACTAATGGCATAAGAAAGAAAAATTATTAGTTTCTTTTTAATATAAAGTGCTTGATTATTTTTCTTCGTGTCTTATTTCCTTCTTGCAGCTATTCTCTTAAATGTTGCCAATAGACATCGATTGAGCTGAGAAATAAACAAACATATTCTTGAACGATATCTCATCTTCCACATTATGCAATAGAACGTAGCAGGAGTCAAGCTAGTTATCGATAATTTTCATCAAACCTCGATCATTCTGATGCCGTTCGACGAGGCAATTATTCTGTTGAATCAATACAGCAGCTGTCACCTTTTACACAATCAATAACATACATTTTTTTTTCTTGACTTTTTCCATCTCTTCTTCAGTCGAACGATTTCTTGCTTCTCATCTCACGAAGATAGATATGTGGATGATGAGAAGAAACTTTCATTTCTTTTCTTTTGAAGTTTCTAGGCATTCGCGTATCACTGATACAAACATTAACAAGAGAATGTGTTTTTTCTTCGATATACTTGCGTCGGAGTATGTGTCAGGAAGTCAATTCATGATCGAGTTTCTTCGTTTTTTTGCTTTCTGATTCGCGATCAACGATCATGGTGTTCGGAATTAATGCGCAACGTGAAGGATTAAGTCCACTGATGTAGAAATAAGGTCTAGTCAGTCTGACTGCCGGAAAGGAGCATGTAGAAGATGATGACGCGGATGAAAAACGACTCGACAAATGAGAGAAAATGTACAATTAGGAAGAAAAAGAAACGTGCATGATAACAGTTACAGGAGAGTGGAATTAGACGCGTCGAATATTTATTATGATTATGTATAATAAATACTAGACATCGAGAGAAAGAGATAGAGAAATAGAGGGGGGAAGGAAAAGAACGGAAAACTATAATCTTTGTTGCGTTTTTTTTTTTCTTCAACAAGTATAAACCTCCGCCTCTTCATTCTCTCTATTTTGCTTCGGCAAAATGTGTGAAATAATCTTTTCTTCATTCGACTTTTTTATCGTCTGTACGTGCGAGCAGAAGTTTGGGGATAGACTGTATCTAAACAACTTCTCAGACGATTCGCAAATTTGAATTTCAAAGATTCTTATCAAGAGATATAATCAGGTATGTCATTGAATTGTATTCGAGATTTCATAGAAAATGGAATCGTTGAAGAAGATACGATGCGTGACAGTCATCTGAGCAATTGAGTAGAACGCCGTAAGGTTTTTGGTTGTAGAACACGCAACTATTGTTAAATGTCTCGATTAATTGAGCAAGATTCGAGAATTTGCCGTGAAAAGAACATGAATGAATGTAATTGTGACACATGTATAAGCATATGTTATTAATCTGGTAAATATGCAGAAAGATTCGCTTTTTTTTTGACGAAAATTGAGAATAAAAGAGAAAACAGTTCTTGGATTACTTTGTTGATCATCAGAGTAGGAAAAAAAAACGAGATTGGGGAAGAAGAAACCGAAAGATATATTTATATAAATATTACTGTTATCGTTTAACGACGACGTAGGAACAGCAGAGTGAAAGTCGTGTCGCATTTCATCTCATCAATTGCTAAATTATAACCTTGAGTATTTGCCTGTTTGCTTGTTTCTATACTGGAAGGTCTGTTGTAAGCAATTGAATAGTAAAGAGGATTGAAATATGGAAGAGAGAAGAAGGATACAAATATCACAGACAGACTATGTAAAACAGGAAAAAAAACTTTTACTACACTTCTATACATATGCATATGCAGACACGTATTCTTTTTTCTTACATAGTCAGATTAATTGATTTTGTCAGTGACAGGAGATGGAAAGGAAACTTTATGAATAATAGTGAAAGAGGTTAGTAGGCAAATAACTATGATGTAGGTGAGCGTGACGTCGTGAGAAGTGTCGGTTGTTGTTACGAATAATAATAATAATAACAACACAATGAATAAATCTTTCGTTATTGGTCACTCGAGATGGTCAATCGTAATGGTATTAGACATTTGTCTGTATACCGTTGCTGATTGATCCACTCACGATCGATTAGAAAAGGTCTGGTGATAGTAATTGTATTTACAATACTGTGTTCGCCCTGCCTGTTTCTGTCTGCATATATGTAAGCGTCTGAGAGTTGAGCTAATTTACGACGACGATTTTCTGTGATTATCAAGAAAACGCTTCTATATACATATACACATATATCTATATGTATATAATCATCGTCAGTAAGTCAGAAACGGTGATACATCTGTAGAAGGGAAAGGGTCAAGATGGTAAAGTTCGATAGGCATCGAGAATAGAAAGGCGAAGATTTTTTCTTGACTTCCTGTCTTGGAGTAACGTCAAGTCAAGGTGAATAGTAAATTATATTGTGTAATCTTTCAGTTTGTATACTTTCTCATCAATAAGTTATTCGCATGCGTACGTTGGTGTTCAATGTGGTGATATGACGATGATAACAGATGACAATGAGACTGGTTGGTTCGAGTGAGTG